AGATTGAGAAGGTGATTGGGCCGCATCCGGCCCACGGACCTTAGGTTGCCTACCCCTGACCTAGCAGTTTGAAAGCAATGCAGTGCAAGTAGATAAATAGGTACCACTGTGGTGGAAAGGTAAACAGCATTTCCATGCGCTCTGGTTTTCGTCACGGTGTTCTGTTGTGCCAGTAGTGGGTTAGTCATGCTGGCCACATTACCCAGAAAGCTGTCTGTGGACAAACGCCGGCTCCCTCGGCCTGAAAGTGAGATGAGCGCTGCAACCCCAGTTGTCTTTGACTGGACTTAACCGTCCAGGGGTTATTTACCTTACCTTTACCTTTTATCTGGAGGAGCATCTCCACCCCCATCTTTCAGCCCGGACACTGAGGTCCAGCTCTGAGGGCCTTCTGACCATTCCTTCATTGCAAGAAGTGAGGTTACAGGGAACCAGGCATAGGGCCTTCTTGGAAGTGGCACCCACCCTGTGGAATGCCCTCCCATCAGATGTCAAGGAAATAAACAATTGTCTGGCTTTTAGAAGACATCTGAAGGCAACCCTGTTCAGGGAAGCTTTTCATTTTTGCTATGTTCTTATTATGTTGGAAGCTACCCAGAGTGGCTGGGGCAACCAAGTCAGATGGGTGGAGTATAAATAATAAAATTATTAATATTATTGAAATATTTGAATCGTGTACAGTGGTTGTAGGCTCCTGATAGACCTCCTCCCTTGCAAAGCTACTGTGGGTTCTGAACCTTTGCAAATTTACAAACACCACCTAACTAAACGGAAAAGAGTTGTACTGTAGTTCAGAATAGATCCCTGCTCTCAACACAGCGCCAAATTTTGCAGGGGGCAATTTGCAGGTGTTTGGCACTGTTTTCGGGTGAATTGGAGGCCGTCAGAATTTTGGCAAAAAACCGTGACCTGCAGATCAGGGTGCCTAGACCTGTTTTCGGTGAAAACTATGACGCGTGGGTAAGGATGCCTAGGAGTCATTTTTTGGCCTACCTGAAAATGCGGCGTTTGCATCGCCAAACGTTGCAGGTGACAATTTGCAGGTGTTTGGCACCGTTTTCGAGTGAATCAGACAATGCCGCAATTTTGTTGAAAACCGTGAACCAGGTCAGGGTGCCAAGACCACATTTTTTTGGCCTACCTAGAAACATGGCGTTTCCATTGCCAAATGTTGCAGGAGGCAATTTGCAGGCGTTTGGTGCCATTTTCAAGTGAATCAGACGTCAGAATTTTGGCAAGAACCATGCCCTGCTAGTCATGGCGCTGAGGGCTCAATTTTGGCCTACCTGGAAACACGGTGTTTGCACCACCAAATGTTGCAAGAGGCCATTTCAATGTATTTGGCACCATTTTCAAGTGAATCGGATGTCAGAATTTTGGTAAAAACCATGCCCTGTGGGTCAGGGCACTGAGGGCTCACTTCTGGCCTACCTGGAAACGCGGTGTTTGCACCATCAAACGTTGCAAGGGGCAATGGGGTGTGTGGGGCTGCTTCATCTCCAAATTCAGCAGCAGATATTAAGCTAAAACTGGGCTCTCTGCATTGCAGCAGCACATTTAGATCTCCACCCCCAGCTCCCGAACAACCCACTAGATGTTCCCTCCTCAGTCTGTCACCATCTGCCCCTAAAGTAGGTCACCTGAGGCCTTCTTGTAGCCTCAAGCCTTTTTAGAACTTTACGTAAAAGGATGCATCCTTGGAAGTCACATTTTATTTTCACATAGCTTAATAAAGGTAAAAAAAAGGTAAAGCACCCCTGGACGGTTAAGTCCGGTCAAAGGCGACAATGGGGTTGTGGCGCTCATCTTGCTTTCAGGCTGAGGGAGCCGACGTTTGTCCGCAGACAGCTTTCTGGGTCATGTGGCCAGCATGACTAAACCGCTTCTGGTACAACGGAACACTGTGATGGAAAGCAGAGTGCAAGGAAACACTGTTTACCTTCCTGCCGCAGAGGTACCTATTTATCTACTTGCACTGGTGTGATTTCAAACTGCTAGGTTGGCAGGAGCTGGGACAGAGCAATGGGAGCTCACCCCGTCATGGGGATTTGAACCACCGACCTTCCGATCGGCAAACCCAAGAGGCTCAGTGGTTTAGACCACAGCGCTACCAGTGTCCCAACTACAGCCTGCAGACACATACATTCATGCACCCAGCCCTGTCACCAGCTTCCTTCTGCTTCCTTCCTCCCTTCTTCCTACTGCGACAGCATGAAGATTTCCACAAGTCGAAATGTTGGTGGTGGGTAAGAGTGCAGGACTGTGAGAATAAAAAGGTGCAACTGCATCGACTCTTGATTCCACAATAGATTTAAAGGGGAGGAATATCCAGGTTGCAACACATGTCATCTACTTATAGGGTAGCATGGCAGGGACAAGGAACCTAAAAGGACTGGGGGAAGATTCAATTTGAAGGGCCTCTGATCTTCCAGATCTTCCCACCTCCCTGAAAAGTTCTGTATAATGGCATTATAGCAGGAAAATAAATTCAAATACTAAGCAAAGGCAAGCCCTTCATGAAAGATTACCAGCAAGATAGTTGAGCTGGAACGGATTCTGCTATGCAGTTATGCAAATGAATGTCAGCCAACACTTGGGACCCCCTTCCCCAATCTCCGATGACTATTGAGACCATGTCCCATTGCCACTGTGAAGAAATATGTGGATATTTCTTACAAATGTCTTTTGTACTTGCTAAGTAAAGTGGAATTGGGAAGAGTTCGCTTCCACAAAATTCTCGATCAGCTCTAAACTCTTCAAGACTAAGACGCCGTTATTTGACCGATATCAAAATGGTGATGGCTTTGTACAACCAGCCACTATTTAACTGTGAAAGCTGCCTTTGTTACTGAACTGTAACTTCAAACAAAAAGATAAAAGCTTGCTGAACATAAAGATTGGCTGCTTTTATCTGAAAGCTTGCCTTCTGAATCTCACCTCAGTTTTAGATTCTAAGATCTTCGACTGGTGGCCCAGCTACACCCCTATCTGGGCAGGGATAGCCTAACTACTGTTGTCTATGCTCTGGTAACCTCAAGGTTAGATTACTGCAATGTGTTATAAGTAGGACTGCCTCTGAGGACAGTTCGGAAACTTCAGCTGGTGCAGAATTCAGCGGCCAGCGGTTGCTCACCGGAGCAAGATGGTTTGAGCATATTGCACCCATCCTGGTCCGATTGCACTGGCTACCAATTAGTTTCCAGGCCCAATTCAAAGTGCTGGTTTTTCCCTATAAAGCCTTAAATTGCCCAGGACCGCAATACCTCAAAGACCACCTCTTTCCATATGAACCGACCCGGACCCTGAGATCATCTTTGGAGGCCCTCCTCTGTGTGCCTCCTCCTCGAGAGGTCTGGAGGGTGGCAACACGAGAACAGGGCCTTCTCTGCAGTGGCTCCCCGTCTGTGGAATGCTCTCCCCAGGGAAGTTCGCCTGGCGCCTTCATTATGCACCTTTAGGCGCCAGGCAAAAGTGTTCCTTTTTAACCAGGCCTTTGATTGATCCGATTTACATCCTATGTCCTTTTAAAATGTGTGGTTTTTTTTGGGGGGGTGCTACTGGGTTGTTTTTATTTTTATTAGGTATTTTGTGATTTTATATCTTGAGACCCCTGGGTATAGAGCAGTATATAAAATAGTAATAATAATAATAATAATAATAATAATATGACATCGCACTGCAATATTGTTAGTTTTAAGTTAACACACAAAATTACATCTGGCCCTGAAAAATTACATTAAGCTAGCAGCATAAGATCATACAAATCTGACACATGCATAGAGAGGTGAATTACACGTGTATGTTCATCACTTGGCTGCAAAATCACCCATCGCATCTGAAAGGGTTATTGTAATTATAACACCACATACAGAACTTTCAAATAACTTGCAAACACAATGCTTTTTTAATAATAGTCCATTCACACATCCAAGCTGCCAAGTCATTTACCCATAGTTGCTGATCATCAGCTATTACACATACATGCAGATGTGGGTGGCGCTGTGGTCTAAACCATTGAGCCTCTTGGGCTTGCCAGTCAGAAGGTCGGTGGTTCGAATCCCCACAACACAGTGAGCTTCCGTTGCTCTGTCCCAGCTCCTGCCCACCTAGTAGCTCGAAAGCACACCAGTGCAAGTAGATAAATAGGTACTGCTGCGGCAGGAAGGTAAACGGCATTTCCGTGTGCTCTGGTTTCCGTCACAGTGTCCCGTTCCGCCAGAAGCGGTTTAGTCATGCTGGCCACATGACCCGGAAAGCTGTCTGTGGACAAATGCCGGCTCCCTCGGCCTAAAAGCGAGATGAGCGCCGCAACCCCGTAGTTGCCTTTGACTGGATTTAACCGTCCAGGGATCCTTTACCTTTACACATACATGTGTGATCCCAACCTTGTTAAAGCAAATACATAAGATTTTATGCTAGAACCAAGGGGTGTAACAGGATAGGACTGCAGTTCTATACAATCCCTTGGAAAGAAGACCCACTGAACCTGGACGGCTGATTCCTACTTAATAGCAAACAACGATTTGGTCCTATGTGAATGACCTCAATGTTCATGCGTTCCCTCCAAATTAGGATTGTGAACCGGCTTCAAACTAACTTGGTCTCGAAAAGCGGAAGGTGCAAGTAGTAGTGTTCTGGTGTGGCATTTGGTTTATGATAAAAGAAGAACAAATTAAATGAATCAACAGCAAACAAGAAGAGGGGAAGAGAAAGTGTACAAAGCACAAAGCTTATTTGTGTAGCAGTTTGGCATGATATCTAACCAAATCGGGGGGACTTGCTGCAAAAGTAAACATGCTTGACTGACAATTTGTTTCAAAACTGACTATGCCCAATAAGAGGATTTAGTGTTATTAATACTTATGCTCACTCCAATAAAATATATAAAATGAAGTACAGGCATCCACAATATAACGGCAAGTACCAGTCATGGCAGGCCATTACCTCTAACAAGCAAGAATTTGGGGGGTTTGGACTGGAATGGCTAAAATCAGAACAAGTCAATGCACAATAATATTTTCAATTTATTATCTTTGCCACAGTACAAATATTCACAAATCAAACATCCGTCGTCTGTCAAAGTATGTAAACAAGTGCCCACAGTTGTCCCTATCCCAGTTTTAAGGTTGTGAATGTCTTAAAAAGTCCTTCAAAATCAAGTTTTGAATTTTGTCATTTGAGAATGGAATCAGGAGCCTCTTCTTTTTATAGTAAGTCTTTTTTTCTTTTTTAACCATTCAGCCTGTGCAATGCAGTAAAATCACAGTGAAAGCCCTGGATAAACATGATTTTTTACAACAGGACCCAACCCATTAGGTTAATAAATGCATTTAAAGAAGCATTATGTTGGCGAAACGAGGTTCCAGTTCCAGAAATCAATTGTTAGAAATGCTAGCTTCTACATTAAAAACAATTTTAAAAAATAACCATGAACCAACCCATCTCTTCCATCATTTTACAAGTCTAAACAGTTTCACTTGCAAAGATACTTTCCAGTCAGGAAAACAGTAGTGCAATTTAAGTAGTTTTACTTCATTAAAAGTTACTGATGTCCAGTAATGCAAATGCCATAGCTTCTGTGGAAAGATAAGAAGATGCTTCAGTAAACAAGAAAAAACTTTGGCAAGCCCAGGCAGGCTTACTAGTCCGTTAAAGCTTGTGTTAAAGTGTTGTGGGTTTTTCTTTTAAAAAAATGGCGTTTTTATATAAACTAAAAAAAAAGCAGAAATAAATAGACAAATGACTGTAAACTGTCTTGAAATTAAAAATTTTCAATGACAGCTGGCACAACTTTACCATAAAGTCATTTAAAACAGAAGAGGAATTGACCTAAGAGGTTTTCCTGCTGCGGCATCCAAGCCCAGAAAACAAAGAAAACTACATTCTTAATTTAAAAAAAAGAAAAGAAAAAAGAAAACAACAAGTCTAACGATGCCACGATTGCGCATTTTCCTCCGGCAGCCTCACTTTGACTTCTTCTTAAAGAGGCTTTTTATTTTGGAGGCCTTTTTGTTTCGCTCTCCGTTCTGGCAGAGGTCCTGTGGGGTGCTACTTATCCGAGGGACAGCCGAAGTTTCGTGACCCGTTTTGCTTTCGCTGCTGGTGGAGGAACAAGAGGTGTGGCGAGGCTTGGGGACGGGGGCACTGCTGGAGAGCTGGTTCATGCTGCACGACTTCTCCAGAATGCCATTGTACACCTTGTTTGCGGGACTGAAGATCATACTTTTAGTTTCCGTCATGCCAACACAGTCAGGGGAACCCCTGGAAATATCGGCCGTCAGGGAAGAAGAGTCTCCAGTAGACGACTCTTCCAATGAGAGTTCCTCTCGTGATATTTTCTGAGGTGACAAAGGTTGATATATTTCAAGGCTCGAAGGAGGAGATTGTTTCCTTCCAGAAGAATTTAAGGAGTCACATTCAGAAACTGTATCTTGTACTTCCCTGCAGCAAAGAGGAGACAATTGTAAGGTGTCAGACTGTTCCATTTAAGGATCTCTCTCTCTCTCTCTCTCTCTCTATATATATATATCCCTCTGTCAATAATCAAATTACCTACTTCATTAAATCTTCCAAATCCTGAGTTTACACACAAACACACACAAAACCTTTACTTGTCAGAAACAAAAACTGCAAATGGCAAGGCCCATCATGAAATAGGTTATTTCCCGTGTCAGATGTTCAGGGTCCAAAGAGCGTCCGCAAACTGGAACACTCACTTCCAGGTTTGCAGCATTCGGGAACCGAAACATTCGACTCGCAAGGCGTTCGGCTTCCAAGGTATGCGGAAACAATCAATCTACTCCTTCTGCACTAAAATGATTTTTTAAAAGAGCCAACTCAGTTCTTGTTTATCTGACCCTCCCCAGGATTCATAAAATTGTGTAACTGCTCACCCCCCATCTCTCTTCAAAACAAGGCATCAAGCAGTTCACTGCACAGAGACTCTGCTAGCTGAAGATGGCCCTGGCACCACAAGAAACACAGTGCTCAGAACAGTCTCCTCCACTGGCTTCATTGTCAGCCATGACTTCATCACCTCAAGGTCAGATTTCTGTTAGCGGCTTTTATGTCGGGAATGCCCTTGTAGACCGTGCCAAGTGTAGCCGCCTGCCTGCTGTAACAGACGAGTCTCTAAGGGCACATTAAATCTGCATTTCAAGCCCTGAATACCTTGCATCTTGCATACCACAGAGGGCACAGGGGAGTTAACAGTCTTATCGCAATCTTCCAGATCTAAACGGAAAAGATCCTTTGCAAATCCTTCTGGTGTGTCCAAGTCTGGACAGCGAGGGCACATAGACACTTCATGGAACTAGCTCTAACCGAAACCGTCATGCTAGCGTCCCCAGTGCCCATACCATTGCTTGTCAGCAGTGAAGTAAATTGCCTCTTCCTCCTCTTCTGTACGGTAAGCAGCGGGGCAGCTGGACACAGAAAGGATGTCTGGATCTGCAGAGTGCAAAGTAGCTTGGGCATGGGGAGGATGCGGTGTTTGTGCTGTGTGTTGCGACTGCGGAGACGACGGCATGACGCTTCGCCGGGAGCGACACATGCTACTGCTCCTTGCTAAGGTGCTCGTTTTCACGACAGACCCTGAGAACGACAAAACAATGTTATTGAAAAATCAACCAGCTGCTCTAAGTTATCAACCGAGCCGTTACTCTGTTCCAGGCAGGCAGAATTTGCAAATAGTCCTATCTGCACGAGCCCACAAATGATTTTGAGTAGAAGCAGCAGCAACCATAGACTTCATTTTAATCTTGAATAATATATCCTTCCTTCCTTCCTATTAATCCATACTTAAAATACATCAGCAAAAGAGACTGGCAAGGGCAAGGCAGGTGTAAAACTGACCTCCACTTGACGGAATTTCACAGAAGGCTCGGTTATCATTTTGAAGTCTTACTGGAGAAGGTCACAAGGGAAGTCACAAACTTATGATGTTGGCAGCAACACCTGACTCAAATATTTAACAGGAATCTGTAACATCTCACTAAATGTATTATGATCAATGGGATGGATGGAGAGGAATTCTATGAACATCATCTATTCATTTTAAAGGTTTATTTTTTAAAAGCTTTAGCAAGAGCGCCCACCAAGAAAAACTGTATCTGTGAAATGAGCCATAGGTTACCTATGATATCTGAAACAGTATCAAAGGAGCTGTGGAAAACAGTTAAAATGTGAACCAAAAAACAACTTCAAAATTGATTGACTGTCCAGTTGAAGAGTGTTGCTGATTAGATCATGGGACTTCAGGATATTGTTCAGGCCCGGATCAACCTGATCACAGTTGTGCTATGCTCTGTGAGTGCAGCTTTCTCCCAACTGAAGCTGAGAGTGCTTGAGGACCAGGACATTCGCAGGTAAACCAAAATGCTTGCTTACAAAGCTATTGTACTACCAACTTTCCTGTACACTTGTGAAACACAGACCACTTATAAACACCATCTCCAACTCCTCGAAAGATTCCATCAATGGTGTCTCCGAAAATTTTTACGTATCACTTGGGAAGACTAATGGCAGTGTACTGGAAGAAGAAAGATCACCAGTGTCGAAGCAATGGTTCTTCAACATCAACTTTGTTGGACTGGTCATGTTGTGCAGATGCCCGATTCTCATTTTCCAAAGCAACCACTCTATTCCCAAGTTAAGAATGCTAAGTGTAGTGTCAGTGGACAGCTAGCGAGGTTTAAAGATGCTCTCAAGGCAAATCTAAAAAAAATCTAAAAAAATGTAGCATAAACACTGACAACTGGGAATCACTGGCCTGCGAGCGCTACAACAGCCTTTATCAAAGGTGTCAAGGACTTTGAAGAAGCACGAACTCAGGACAAAAGGGAGGAATGAGCTAAGAGGAAGGCACGTTTGGCAAACCCTCACAGTGATCAACTCCTGCCTGAAAAACCTATGTCCACACTATGGAAGGACGTGTGGATCCAGAATTGGCCTCCACAGCCACTTATGGACAGATTGTTAAGACCATGTTCATGGAAGACTATCTTACTCGGGTACGAGTGACTGCCAAAGAAAAAGATGATGTTGCCCTCTGCAAATATCAGCAATTACATCAGATGTAAACCAAACCAAAATAATTTTCAACTGCTGCAGATCAGAAGCAGAGTGGTTTGTTTTGTTTTGTTTTTTTAAAAAGGCTTTATCAGTAAAATCAAACAGCCCTCAGAATCTCAAAAGGTTAGGGCGGCAGTAGAGGGAAACAATTGTTTTGCCAGCCATAGAAATGAAAAGTTTGGTGGGGGGAATGTGATACAGGTTTTGAAGAAAAGATGTCTACAATCAGCTCTGAAAATGAAGTTTAAAAGGAACAGCATTAAAAATGCCCTCCTCTGCACAGCAGAACCCTAGTAAGACTCTTAATCTCTGAGACACTCTCCCCTTTCAGGCTTCCCAGAAACAAGAGCGCCCAACAAGCAGCTTTCTGTTGCAACTTCCAAATGAGAGCCCTTTCTTTTATTTCCTACAAAAGCAGAAAGGAGAAAGCTCCATCCACAAAGCCAGCATTTTGAGGCTGCCTGCGAGAGAGAAAGCAGCTCTTTAAGCCCCACACTGTGCACAAAGAAGCACAGTGCTAAAATTTGAAACCCTGAGCATGTGGCTGTTCTTTTCTCCTTTTTTGGGAAACTAGCGGCTGGGAAGGGAGAGCTTCCGGCTCTTTCCAGGAAGCAAGCCTCCAGAGTCCCATTTCCCCTCTGCCTTTTAAATGGGAAGAGCTGGACTCGACTAAAAGAGCACACCTTCTCTGCTTCCTTCCTGGAAGAACATGTTTTGTTTTCAAAAGATTCCCTCCCAGTGGATTTTTCATTCCCATAAATATAATTCACTCTCAGTTTCAAAGCTCTTATACTGTCCATTATGTGGGATGTAAATGGATGTAAGTAAACCTTACATCATTACTTTCTAAAAGAAGACTGTTGTGTCATTCTTTAACAGGAAGAATCCAATCTGGACAAGCCAGACTGGACTGCTTAACTCAAATGGTTCTAACAAATCCATCAGCTAGCTTCCTGCTATGTACAAGGGAATGTGCTCTCCTACTAGCTCACTAGCGTGAGTGAAGAAGGATAATACTTAATCAATATATCATCTCCTACTATCCTCAACATTCCCACACATTAAACAGCTGGGGTTCCATATGCCAAATGTTTCTGCTTTTCCATATTTCCTAGCATCTTTGTTCTGCTGAATCTTGCTAACCCCTCTGACCCATTGCTTCATTTGGTATTTCATTTTGCCAATACTTCTAATGGTTGTGGTTATTTGCCAAACTCCTGTGTATCTCCAGGCATTCAGTGTCTTCTTAGATATACGGTCACATACCATGAAACTGAGAAACGATAGGAGGAGTGTCTTCGTCAAGGTCATCTACACCCCCGGCAATTGGATACGGCGGGATGGAAACTCGCGGCATTACCACCCAACTATGATCAGAGTAAAGTGATGAAGTCAGACTCGGTAATCCTGAGTTATGTGCTATCTGGAAGCCACAGATCTTCTCAATCTGCTGCCATCGGTAGAGTCGCTCTCTCAAGCAAGTGGTTAATTCAGAAAGTGCTTTCCTAGGAAACAACAGAAGTTTGCGTTTGTTTGGGGGTTTTTCCTCTCCAAATTATGCATTTGGGGATATTTATGATCAGCCATATTAATGTATACAGTACTATCGTTCTTCGGGAGCTACAAACAAACAAACAGTTACCTTATAGAATCTGGTATTTTCAATTTAAAATGCAGCCCACATTAAAAGGTCAAAAAAAGGTAAAGGACCCCTGGACGGTTGAATCCAGTCAAAGGCAACTATGGGGTTGTGGGGCTCATTTCGCTTTCAGGCCGAGGGAGCCGGCATTTGTCCATAGACAGCTTTGAAGGTCATGTGGCCAGCATGATTAAACCGCTTCTGGCACAGCAGGACACAGCGGCGGAAACCAGAGAAGCGCACGGAAACGCCGTTTACCTTCCTGCCGCAGCGGTACCTATTTATCTACTTGCACTGGCGTGCTTTTGAACTGCTAGGTTGGCAGGAGCTGGGACAGGGCAACGGGAGCTCACTCCATCGCAGGGATTCGAACTGCAGATCTTCTGATCACCAAGCCCAAGAGGCTCTCTGGTTTAGACCACAGTGCCACCAGCATCCCAATTAAAAAAAATAAAAATCTTAACATTAAAATATTGAGCACTACAGTATCAACCAAGTTTATGCATTGAGCACAAGGGGCATCACCCACTAGGCAGTTCTCTTACTTTGCTTCCAGAATCTTGTGGTCCACTTCATCGAGAGAAGAGCTGTGTGCAACATGTAATGTCCCAAAGACGGTACTTCTCTTTTTCTTAATCTTTTCTGCCTATTATTAAAAAACAAATATGAAGCCAAGTTTACATATACAGTGCAATGGGTAAAGAGAAATATATACCTTTTTTATTTAACCGATAGGATTTGGGAGACGTTATGAGGTTAAACTATAGTGACTCAAACTATAGTGACTCTCTCAAGGCAAATCTAAAAAAAAATGTAGTATAAACACCAGCAACTGGGAAACACTGGCCTGCAAGCGCTCCAGCTGGAGAACAGCCTTTACCAAAGGTTTGAAGACGTTCAAACTCAGAACGAAAGGGAGAAACATGCTAAGAGGAAGGCACGCTTGGCAAACCCTCACCATGATCAACTCCCACCCGGAAACCTATGTCCCCACTGTGGAAGGATGTGTGGATCCAGAATTGATCTCCACACTCACTTATGGACTCACTGTTAAAACTGTGTTTATGGAAGACACTCTTACTTGGCTACAAGTGATCACCGGAGGAGGAGGAGGAGGAGGAGAGGATGAAAAAGAAGAAGAAAACGATAGTGACCTAGGAATAGCATATCCAAAGAGACATGCTGTCCTATCACAATCTCTAAAATAGAACAAAAACTCCCTTAAGGTTTCCCATCTTTACGTAAGCGAGAACAGCTAGGGGCATAGTCAAAGGTATTCTCAACAGGTAACTCCACAACTATGCAACTCCCCCAAACCAGAGACACGCCAAAAGTGTCTTTCTAAGGTGAGATTAGCATTCATTTATTTCTTTTATTAAAATGCTTTATGAACTGCCTTTAAATACAATTTGCAGATATTGCGTTAATCTGAGTAACTTATGTTTGCTGCCTCAAAGGGTATCTATCCTGGACTTTAAGCCAAAGCACAAAGTTATAAAACGTAAAACATGTAAAGCTGAGCTGAACTCAGAAAACTGTGGGCAGGCTAGAATAGAGTAGCAGGAGCAGCTGCCCGGGGCACAGCTCTTAGGAGGGCGGCGATACAGTAGCAGGAACAAAATGAGACAAAAATGTGATGCCCCAGAATTGTAACTGTCCTTTTTGCTCAAAACTTAAACTTGCAGGAGGCAAGGGTACACACACATACATCTAGTTGCAAACCCACATCCCGAATTGTATTAGTTCAGTGATGAAATCAACAGAGTACACACTGCTTTTGATTGCGAGGGCTCAAAAATGAACAATACCTCATCCTTGGCAATTGCCAATTGCATTTCTGCATTTTGTCTCTTAATGTTGTAGTACTGCACTTCCACTTCGTGCGTGAGCTGGAGCCATTTCTGCAGCGCATCAGGAACAGACCAATTGCTTCTCAGTTCAAACTCCTTCTCGGCCTTTTTTAAGGCCATGCGGACCTAGTTGTCAGAAGAAATATGCAAAGATATTGAGACACCTAAGCCTGAAGTGTAAAAATGTTTTTAAAACAGCTTTTGCCCCTTAACACTTTGCATCAACGCTGAGTCACTGAGTATTACTATATAATATGGTTGGTTGGTTGGTTGATTGATTAATCAACTAAAATAGATTTTTTAAGATGTTCCAGATAGAAGATTTCGGAATTTCTCAGGATTAAAGTAATTAATTTAAAAACACCACTACATGCAGAAATTATAGGTGGTGGACCCCATATTTAAAGAGGCATTTGTTTACTAATGCAAAAGAGAGAAAGCCTTATCTAAGGTGTTGGCTACTGTGGTGTGTGCATCATCTTAGTACCAAAGGCAAACTTTATTCTTTTCAGGACTAGTGCTTTTATTTATACAAATTTAAAGGTAAAGGTAAAGGTACCCCTGCCCATCAGGGCCAGTTGTGACCGACTCTGGGGTTGCACGCTCATCTCGCTCAAGAGGCTGGGAGCCGGCGCTGTCCGAAGACACTTCCGGGTCACATGGCCAGCGTGACGAAGCTGCATCTGGTGAGCCAGCACCAGCGCTGCACACGGAAACGCCGTTTACCTTCGCGCTAGAAAGCGGTCCCTATTTATCTACTTGCACTTAGGGGTGCTTTCAAACTGCTAGGTGGGCAGGAGCTGGGACCAAACGACGGGAGCTCACCCCGCCGCGGGGATTCGAACCGCCGACCTTTCGATCAGCAAGTCCTAGGCTCTGTGGTTTAACCCACAGCGCCACTCGCGTCCCTACAAATTTATATAGCTTTAATTGCAGGATGAATAAATTAAAACTCATATGATTAATTTCTCGGGGTAAGACCCCCTTGAACATAAGCCCTATCATACTAAAGAAGAATGGCAACTTAAACTGATGGAATATGCACAACTTGCAGACCTAACACAAAGAATAAGAGAACGTTTAAAGAAGATTGGAAAATGTTTATTGAATATACGGAGGAAAATTGTGTTTATTTGAAAACGTGGGCAGCATTAAGATAAATTCAACAGTGTAAATAAGTTTTGATAGCTCCAATAATGGAATACCAGATGGTTCAGTTTATATAAAATATTCAGGGATTTATGTGATGCAAAATGAACCATGGACAGAGATGAAGGGAAGTCACTGATATTTTAAGGTTGTTTAAATGAATATTCTAAAATGTAAAACAGGAAAATCAATAAAATTGTGAAGATAAGCCCTATCAGTGTCCTTGAACAAATGCGGTGTTTCAGTTTTCTTTCCCTATTATTTCTTTAGACTGCATGTGGGTGATCTGCAGCCTGCAGGCAGCCCTTGGGCACCCATGGGTGTAGCCCCCAAGCCTCCAGGGGACACACCCACTTTCCACACTGCTCATTCATCAGCTGCACCGTGGGGAAAAGATTCCTGTTCCTGCAATGCTGAACAGCAATGAGGTGACAATTTCAGCTGCATCAGGATTGCTGGGAAGTGCAGGTTAAGCCTTGGGACACCCCGGGGATGCTAATACAACTAGGGAGTGGAATATTAAAGTCTGTGAGTGTGTGTGCCAGTTAGTGTGAAAGAGAGAAAGAGAAACAGAGTGAGAGAGTGGGGGAGCTGTGTGTGGAGCCAAGCTGTTACTCCAAAGGTAAAGGGACCCCTGACCATTAGGTCCAGTCGTGACCGACTCTGGGGTTGTGGCGCTCATCTCGCTTTATTGGCCGAGGGAGCCGGCGTACAGCTTCCGGGTCATGTGGCCAGCATGACTAAACCGCTTCTGGCGAACCAGAGCAGCACACAGAAACGCCATTTACCTTCCCGCCGGAGCGGTACCTATTTATCTACTTGCACTTTGACGTGCTTTCGAACTGCTAGATGGGCAGGAGCAGGGACCGAGCAACGGGGGCTCACCCCGTCGCGGGGATTTGAACCACCAGCCTTCTGATTGGGAAGTCCTAGGCTTTGTGGTTTAACCCACAGCGCCACCAGCGTCCCTGTTACTCCAAAGTGTATAGTTAAAAAGAGGGCTACCAGAGGAACTTTTAAGTGTATAGATGCAGAGCTGCAAATTCAACTCCCCTTGCAATATGATATGGGGAGGGATATTCCTGATGGTGTGGAAGAAAAAAGGGGGAAAGAGGAGGAGGAGGACATGGTGAGTGGAGTGGGGTTGGGTGGCAATGCTTCTAATTCTTCTACTTAGTGTATGTGTGGGGTTTTGTGTCAGCATCACTTGATGAAGCTGGGCACCTACAGTGTGCAGCTCAAAGGCTCCAGTTCTGACTATTTCCTTTTACTGATTGTTACATTTCTCTACCAGTTTCAGCTTTGTATGTCTAAACTACCTTTCTGGAATTGATCTCAGTTTGCTTCTCTCATTTACGATTTCATCGTGTCCCCTGCTCCAATGCTACAGTGCCATTAAGTGGCTGGAAAAGGTACAACTCTGCGTGGGCTGAGATGGTAGATTTTATTTGCAAATACCTGCACCAGCTCCTCTTCTGCATATTTAAGCCTGCTGAGTTCACATTCAGCTCCTTCCCTCAACTCTCTCAGCCGACAGGCTTCCCGTTTTGCATCGCTGATTTCATCCATCATCTTGCGCTCCAGGTTTTGCTTTTCCACAGCAACAGTCCGATTTTCCTCCTGTGCTTTTTCAAGCCTTCAAAGTAGACATTTTTTTTCCACAAGTTAATAGTGTTTGTTCAGTTCCGTTCATGCCTCAATTGATTGGACAAATAATTTAAGCTACTCTGTGGCATCACCATGCGACATGTCACTAAACCTCTCAATATGTGTGAAAAGAACACCAGAGGGTTACCTGTCTCTCTCAACAAACTTAGATATGCTTTCTGTCAAGTTACGATGCTAAGATTTAGGACCGCAATACCTCAAGGACCGCCTCTTTCCATATGAACCTTCCCAGACCCTGAGATCATCTTTTGAGGCCCTCCTTTGTGTGCCTCCTCCTTGAGAGGTCCAGAGGGTGGCAACATGAGGACAGGCCTTCTCTGCAGTGGCTCCCCATTTGTGGAAAATCTCCCCAAGGGAAGTTTGCCTGGTGCCTTCATTATGCACCTTTAGGAGCCAGGCAAAAACATTCCTTTTTATCCAGGCCTTTGGTTGATCCGATTTACATCCTATGCCCTTTTTAAAATGTGGCCCTTTTCATAGGGTGTGTGTGTGTGTGTTATTGGGTTGTTGTTTTTATTCTGATTATATATGTTGTGATCTTTTCTGCGAACCGCCCTGAGACCTCCGGGTATAGAGCAAATAACAATAATAAGGCAAGGACATTCAAATTTGTGAAGAACATCAGAACTCATACATTAACAGGAATGTTGGTGTAGCTTAGTGGCTAAATGTAACTTGAGTAGTCTCCTCTTCATACATCACCTGAACCATGAATTCACTACATGGAACAGGCAAAGTCCTGCAATATTTTCACACTAAATGGCCTTTCAAGGCTGTCATAAGGACGCTGAATACCCTAAAGTATTGTCTGTTTTTTACGTACCTCTCTTGCAAATCGCACAGACTCTGTTCTGCTGTTTGAAGGCTTTCTAAATCTTTCATCATTTTTGTCATATGCTCTTTCGAAGTCTTGTTCTGAGTATATGCAAACCAGCAGCCGCCGACGCCGATCACTATAGAAATGGTGAGGATGAAATCTTTCATCCAGTTGTGAGGCGGTCCTGAAAAATGCAGTTGTACATGAGTTAAAGAGATAGATCACCTAACAAGATTGGGCTGATTTGGATACAATGCCAAACCAGGGTTTAGTGCTACACAAGCTGCAACAAGCCATGAGCCCATACGCTCCCCTCCAGCATGGCTCTGTGAGTTCAGAAACTTCCACTTCCATTTTAGGTCGACCAGTTTGTCGAAGTTAAAAAAAAATTACAAGCTGCAGTTAACCTTAAGTATGGTTAGTGCTCAGCATAATTTTTTTCCCTCTCTCTCCTGGCAACATGTCTGCACATGTGTCTTAAAGAAGAGTCGCTGTAATCCTGAAAGGGTCAAACCAAGTTAAATTAAGCTGGCTTGTTTTCACTAATCATGCCTAAGATTAACTGCAGCAGCAGTAGAAAACACGTGGTGCCGAGAAAAAGGTTGGTGTGCAGCGTTATTTGGTGCAGCCAGTGATTTTTTCTGACAAAACATTCCAGAAAGGAGTACCAACATCTTTGCTTGGGATGCCACTGCTGCCTGCTAGCCTTTGCCTGCCCTGGGGCTTACTTAAAAAAACAAAAAAGTTCAGGGGGGGGAGGAGCAATGAAGTTATCATCATATGCTTTGGCAGTGGCTGCCACAGCCTTCTTAAAAGGAGCAAGTGCCTCCTTCATCCCATGCTAGCTGGAGATATGGGGGAAGTGGCTGGGGATGTTCCTGCAAACTCAGGCTGCCACTGCCTGCCAGCCAGCCACAAGTACCTCTTTCACTCCATGCTGGGTTTTTTTATTATTATTTTTAAAAAAGGTTAGGGTGGAGCAGTGGTATCCTCACACACTCAGGCTGCTGTTGTCTGCCCTCGATGTGGAACTGGTGGCAGGTGCTTCCTCTGCCCGAGGGAAGGCCTTTTTCTGAAGGAGGGGCTATGTATGAGAGAGGAAGAGATGTATTTTGTGATATTTGGTGGGAGGGAGAGTTCTATACGTTGTCTGTGCGAATGAGAGAGAAAAGGAGGCATGCATGTGAGGTCTCCTAGGGAGAGAGGTACATCTGGACAGAGAGGAAGAGATCTATGTGCGGCCTGTGTGTGAGAGAGAAGGGGGAGCTATGTGTGCATTTGTGGCGTGTGGGACAAAGAGAAGGAATTATATCTGTGAAGTGCATGTTTGTGAGTTGCATAGGGAGATGGGCATGTATCTGTGCTCTGAATACATGCATGTGCTCGGTGTAAAAAAAAAAAAGAGGTAAAGGTACAGGATCCCTAGATGTTTAAGTCCAGTCAAAGGTCACTATAGGGTTGCTCATCTCGCTTTCAGGCTGAGGGAGCCGGCGTTTGTTCACAGACAGCTTTCCAGGTCATGTGGCCAGCAGAACGAAACTGCTTCTGGTGCAACGGAACACCGTGATGGAAACCAGAGCACACGGAAACGCTGCTTACCTTCCCGCTGCAGCGGTACCTATTTATCTACTTGCACAGGTGTGCTTTCGAACTGCTAGGTTGGCAGGAGCTGGGACAGAGCAATGGGAGATCACTCTGTTGCGGGGATTCAAACCGCTGACCTTCTGATTAGAAAGCCCAAGAGGCTCAGTTTTTTAGACCACAGTGCCACCCACTCCCCATGTGCTCTGTGTGCGCATCAGAGGTAAGAGGGAATGCGGCTGGCCATCTTGGGTCCGTCCCCCCCCGGTAGTGGGGAATGCTGCCTGTTGTTATTAGATAACCTCTCTCTCTCTCCCTCCCTCTCATTTTCTCGGGGTTTGGGTTGGGTGTGGCATGGTGGGTGTGTAAAAGCAACATTGTGTGATTGCCACAAACAGGAGCAGCAGAGCACTGCACTAACTTCTCGTGGCAAGCATGAGGTGGAGGAAAAGTCAAAGCGCAATTCTTCCAATGTCCTTGGCACCAATCGTGATTTTTTAATTCTTTCTAATAAATGCCATCCATAAAATGTCAAATTTCAATTAAAAAGTTGATACTAAAATACAAAATGAAAATATGTACCATAAATTCAATAGAGAAGGGGGGGGTCATAGAAAGAAGGGCTGGGTGGGATCTAGACATTTTTCAATTTATCAAGGTATGAGTACCATTGTGGTGGTGGTGTTGTTTTTATTAGGTATTTTGTGGTTTTATACAGTGGTGCCTCGCAAGACGAAAAGAATCCGTTCCGCGAGTCTCTTCGTCTTGCGGTTTTTTCGTCTTGCGAAACAAGCCCATTAGCGGTTTAGCGGATTAACGCTATTAGCGGCTTAGCGGATCAGCTGATAAGCGGCTTAGTGGCTTAACGGATCAGCTGTTAAGCGGCTTAGCGGATCAGCTGATAAGCGGCTTAGTGGCTTAATGGATCAGCTGTTAAGCGGCTTAGCGGATCAGCTGTTAAGCGGCTTAGCGGATCAGCTGATAAGCGGCTTAGCGATCAGCTGTTAAGCGGCTTAGTGGCTTAGCGGATCAGCTGATAAGCGGCTTAGCGGCTTGGGAAAAGGGGGGGGAGGGAAAAAACCCCGCAGGAACTCGCAAGACATTTTCGTCTTGCGAAGCAAGCCCATAGGAAATTCGTTTTGCGAAGCACCTCCAAAACGGAAAACCCTTTCGTCTAGCGGGTTTTCCGTCTTGCGAGGCATTCGTCTTGCGGGGCACCACTGTATCTTGATTTTATTCTGTGAACCGCCCTGAGACCCCCGGGTATACGGCAGTATATAAATTCAATAAATAATAATTTTTACACCCCCGCCCCCAAAAAAGGCTAATTCAGAATTTGACTGCCCACTTGCCATTTCCTTTCTCTTAAAAACAAGTAAGTGAAATGATGGTTTGCATCTACAGTTTGTCTGAAACAAGGCAGCTTCAAAACATGCAATGAAACTGGTTTGTTTCGGCAAGCTATAATTAGATGACTCATAGTTTAGGATTTAGATGTAATGCTAAATTGTGGTTCATCTAAAGCAAGAAGTGAAAGCTTCCTAACTCCTTATGACTGCACTAGAGGATAAAATAGCACACAAATCCAAGACTTACCTAGGCTTATTCCTGTCCTGATCAACCATGGTTTATTTTTATACTCAAAACACACCCGCTGAAGGATACCCACAATAGTATCATTGGGCATATCCCTCAGAGGAATTAGCTAGCCTAAATATTAATGTAAATCACAGTTCAAAAGAACAATTCTTTCTGCTAGCAGTTTAAAGGTGTGTATGTGGGGAGGAGGCAGAGAGAGGAAATAATACTAACGTGTGAGAGGTCCAAATAAGACAACATCCAAGGCCTTCAGTTGTAGTTTCTGCCGGTGGCTCCGATCAATTATTTTCAACTGAGAGATCATAAATGCGGCTTCATTAACTGCTATCCTGTACACAATAAAGCAGGGATTTTATGTTCCTTGTCCTGAGAGCAACTGTTAGAGACACAACTAAAAATGCAGATTCTATTGTGTGCAGTAACTCAAAGTCACTGAGAAATAGATACTATGTTGTGTGGTTTATCAAATTTCATGTACAACACTAAACCAGAGATGGTAGATTTTAATGTACCAAACTAACATCAAGTTTGGCATTAACAGAATGTCTTTGTTTAAACCGATATAGCATGAAACTATACAGAACTGAATGACTTTGTCAGTTTAAGTGCAATAATGTACCATCAAAAAGGCAGATTTCTTAGGCTAACAATGTTTTAGATGTAAGAAATGTTTAATCTGAATGTTTAATATATTTCACTAAGCATGCTCTGCACAGAGAGCCCGACACTGCAGGAGCACCCAAAAAGGTACAAAACTTAGCAAGGCTGAAAAATTCACCTTGGCAATGTTGTTCCTTTGACGTTATTTTCTCTGAAAGTCTTCTCATACTGAGGGAGTTCAACAAATTCTACCAGCCACTGAAGAGTCTCCTCCTGTGTCCAGTTGTGAACTACAACACAAACACAAATACTATTTTACACTGGCTAGATTATCAAGAATTAAAGCAACCGTACAAATAAAAAAGCAATGGCAAGTTATTGGCAGGTTCGCCGTCTTCATCATGTGCTCATCCAAGTCAAGATTACAGAAAGATTATCAAGAAGTAATTCTTAAAAATATTTCATTATTAAAAATTCCATGGCATGATTGAAAAAGAAAAGGTCTTGTGACCAGTGAAGTGTACACAGAGTTCTTGATCCTGTTATTCTTCAACTCATACTGTGGAACAAAGCGGATGCAAACAGGTTGTATACCCACATAAGGGAAGATCTCTACTCGAGTTTCGTAGAACATCATGTGGGTCCATGATATTTTGGTGACACAGAGAGCATGCTAGTTGGGCAATGATAAAATTAAAGAAAGCAACATACAAATCCTAAAATACTACTGATAATTAAAACTTAAAAATACAGTACCATATAGACTGGTATCAATCTCAATTTCAACCATGCTGCTCCTTAAATATAATAATAATAATAATAATAATAATAATAATAATAATAATAATAGTTTTATACCTCAGTCACTCTGGGTGGCTGCCAACAGAATATTAAAAACACGATAAAACATCAAACATAAAAAAATTCCTAAACAGAGCTGCCTTCAGGTATCTTCTAAAAGTCAGATAGTTGTTTGTTTCTTTGACATCTGGTGAGAGGGCGTTCCACAGGGATGGGTGCCACTACCGAGAAGGCCCTCTGCCTGGCTCCCTGTAACCTCGCTTCTCGCAGGGAGGGAACCGCCAGAAGGCCCTTGGCGCTGGACCTCAGTGTATCCAAAATGAACAAAGAGGAGCAACCAGCAGGCTCATAAGAACGCCAAAGTCTCAGAAGACAACACTTTGAAGTCCATTCACCTTCCCAGCCAAACCCAACACTGACTGAGCATGCTCAGTGGGTAAGGCGAGAGAGAAAAGGGGAATGGTACGGGGTGGCTCCACAGACGAAGCCTGCACAGAAGCATTCCACACTGCAACGTTTTGCATCCGCTAATCGCCTACATAACAAAACAATTAAAATGCCCAGTGTTCACCCAGCTAAAGGGTTTATCTTTATCTTCCCATGCAACGCTTATTAATGTGAAAGCTAGTGGCTTGGCTAGGATAAGGCTCTCTACGTTCAAGACCTTGCAGACAAGAAAGCACAATCGCTTAAATATAGAAGGAACCGTAACCTTGGCCTCAGCTGACAGCTTTAGGAATTGCATGATGCCATCACAACAAGCTAGTAACATTCTCACTGGAATACTAAGAGTGCTTTTAACATGCCAAAGTGCTTGCTCCCACCCGGCACAATCTATTCTTTTCTTTCTTTCAAAAAGAAGGGCATTCTTGTTTCATGATTCACGAACCGCCAGATGATAACCGTTCGCGTGGCAGAGGAAACCAAAGTCAGCCTTAAAAATACCTAGGCTCAGAGCCATAGCTAGGTGATCTTGCACCCCTGGCAGAACTGTCCAGATTGCACCCCCTAGCCATGGACAAATTAACTCTTCTTTCCACCTCTCCTCCAACCCCCAACCCCCATTCAATTCACCCTCTATTTAAAACCCTTTCTTATGAGGCAATAATCAATATTTATGTTTATGGACATATTTTTAGCTGATTTTGCGGGGGGGGGGGCATTGGCTGCGCCCCTGGCAGGGGCCCACCACACCACCCCCTAGCTGCGGCCCTGCCTAGGCTAATAAACGAGATCAGTTTACACTGTCTGGCGAAGACAAAGGATGAGAGGCACAGCTGAACTTCCTGGAGGGGAGAATTCCAGAACTGGGCTGCAGCCACAGAAAAGACTCTTACATGTCCTGTCCAGCTAAGCATCAATGCAGAGAAGGGGCATTCCTTCAGGTATCCCAGTCTGAAGCAATTTAGGGCATTATAAGCAATAATTAACACTTTGAATTGTGCTGAGAAACATATTGGTAACCAATGCAACTGTTCTAAAATGGGTAGAGCATGCTCCCACAAGCCATATTCTCGTAAGCATCTGGACCAGCTCAGGCTTCTAGAAACAATTCAGAGACAGTCTCATGTTGTTATTGTTGTTGTTGTTATTGCTACTACTATACATACATACATACCCAGCCCATATGTTAGGGTTTCCCCGGCCACTCTGGGGGGCTCCCAACAGAATAATAATAATAATATTAATAATAAAGCGATAAAAAAGCAAACATTAAAAACTTCCCTAAACAGGGCTGCCTCCAGATGTCTTCTAAAAGTCAGACAGTTGTTTATTTCCTTGACATCTGGTGAGAGGGTGTTCCACAGGGCGGGCGCCACTACCAAGAAGGCCCTCTGCCTGGTTCCTTGTACCCTCACTTCTCGCAGTGAGAGAACTACTAGAAGGCCCTCGGAGCTGGACCTCTGTGTCTGGGCAGAACGATGGGGGTGGAGACGCTCCTTCAGGTATACTGGGCCAAGGTCGTTTAGCGCTTTAAAGGTTGGCACCAACACTTTGAATTGTGCTCAGAAACATACTGGGAGCCAATGTAGGTCTTTCAGGACCAGTGCTATATGGTCTCAGCGGCCACTCCCAGTCGCCAGTGTAGCTGCTGCATTCTGGATTAGTTGTAGTTTCCGGGTCACCTTCAAAGGTAGCCACACGTAGAACGTGTTGCGGTAGTCCAAGCGGGAGATAACCAGAGCATTCACCATTCTGGCGAGACAGTCTGTGGGCAGGTAGGGTCTCAGCCTGCATACTAGATGGAGCTGATAGACAGCCAACCTGGACACAGAATTGACCTGCACCTCCATGGACAACTGTGAGTCCAAAAGAACTTCCAGGCTGAGCACATGGTCTTTCGGGGCACAGTTACTCCATTCAGGACCAGGGAGTCCTCTACACCTGCCCACTTCCTGTCCCCCATTTCACAGCAACCCTAATCTACTTGCTGATCCTGACCTTCTTAATCCAATGCATTACAATGTGCCACATGAAATTAAAAGCTTATACCATACCCTCGTCATCCTTTGAAATCCATTTCACCTCTCACTGTACTCCTCAAACATAATCTCTGGTCTACAGGGAATGGCCTGTTCAATGCCTTTGGTAGTTCAGAATCTAACTGCAGTCTTTGGTCCCCTAGACTAATGATTGCTTGCCTCCAAACTCTTCCTTCCAGACACTTTACTAAGACTGTGTGACTTGGTTTTGTTTTAGACTTCAGTTTAGCAATACATAGTTCATGAACTGCTTTTAAATCTGACTTCTTCTTCTTGTATTATTATTATTATTATTATTATTATTATTATTATTAAGCTCCTGTAGGCTGGCAACTCCCAATTTAGATAATCTCCAAGTCTTGTTGCTTTCACTGTTAGAATTCTGGGGAAAGTAAGGGTGCATGGAGTTCAAAGAAAATCCACTACGAATTAAAAGCATAAGTAGTGGCAGGCAACTTAGAGAAAGTCACAAAATGTCACAAAACAGGAGCTCATTATTTAGCTTAACAGTGAGGTTCTATTCACCGCAAAATTAATTTCCTGTGGAATCTGGTGGGAGATTTTGCAAGGATTAACATGTTGGTGTTGTTGAGATGCTAATCCCACTACGGCTCATTTCCAGAACTTGCTTTACCAAAGTTAGAGAGTTGTCAGTGGGAACGAACACACACACACACACACACACACACACACACACCTTCCTATAGGAAGCCCCAAGCTGTACACTTCCAGAGAAGATTTGGAACGTGTGGCCTACCCAAATGACACCAAAGGCAATGCCTCGTCATAACACAAGTCAGATAAAAAAATCTATAAAAGACCTAAAGCTTCAAAGCAAAACACTACTTGCCATAGGCATAAAGCGTGCCAAAGCAATGAAGCACACTATCACATCTTGATTATTTTGGACAGGTCTTCCCTGCAAGCTAGCATTGCACCAAACATACCACTAATCAGCAACCAAGTAGATAACATTTTTTCAAGCTTCCTTCCTGGTAATATGATTTCTGCCGGTTGGGGATCATGCACCAAATGTGATCACAGGCTTTTGCCACGCTTGCCAAAAGGAGCAGAAATGTAACCTCTTATGTAAAGTATCTTATTTGTGTGTGTAAAGCATATTGTTTGAGAGTTACACTCCCGACCAGGGGGATTCAGATAACCAAAGTTTTATTATTCAAAACATTATCATCAACACAGCAGAGGTCTGAACAGACTACTACATTCACTCAAAGCTCTAATACACAGTGGTTTGCTGTTGCTTTAAGGGGAAAAAACAGTGCTCGCAATCACCATGAAGTTGTTACAGTAAGTATCACACTTTTAACATTTGGGGGAAAGCTGCTGGTACTTGACTACCTTGAGTACCCCAGGAAAAAAGCACTGCTAATATACTATAATCTCCCTAGTTCCTCACTCTCCCCCTTCTTTTCCAGAGTGCCACTTGGTTTCTTTGAAAGAGGCTCTAACACATATTAATAATCAGCAACAAGAACATTTATGTTAGGCTAATTACATTTCACATGAAGCAGGCTTTAATTTAATTTTTAAAAAAACCTTATAAGTATCATTGTCTTCCTTTAGTATCACTTTGCTCCACTTTTCTAAGTTTGCTGTTTATACCTGAAACCACATCTAAAGCAATTCCAAGAACCCCAGATTTACCATGAAACTCAAAATAGGAAAGAAACTCAAAATAGGAACGGCAAGCTTAAGACCTCTCCACCCCAATTTAATAGCTGTGTGCAGAAAAGCAATCACGGTTACTAGCTATACTGAATAAATAACAGCTATTTACAGTTAGCAGTAATTTAAGAGAAACTTAAATTTGCCTTGGGCAGTTCTCCTTTCAGCATTAGTAAAGGGGCCAAGTTGTCCATCTCTGCTCAAACTGGTGCCAAGATGTTACATAATGAAACAACAGTGACATTTACTCTAAACTCACATTCAACCAACAATTTAACATTGCAAGCATGCGCTTCCAAGAAAGGGGATCTGGAACTCCTGCATTGTCTTATTTGAAAAGGAATTTGAGGTTACATATTGCATCCCCAGTAGTGCTTGGCTTGCATTCATTTCCACTGTCTAGCTATTCAAAACCCGTGGCTGCCAATAATGAAGAATGTGCAATGCAACCATAACATTTCTAGATGGTATGCGACTTATCCCAGTTGCTGGAAGAACATCTGCTGTGCACGGTGCCTTAGAAACATTATTTGAAGATGGTCACATGTTACTCACACCACATTTGTGTTGGTCTGTTTCTCCACTACAGTGGTACCTCGGGTTACATACGCTTCAGGTTACAGACTCTGCTAACCCAGAAATAGTGCTTCAGGTTAAGAACTTTGCTTCAGGATGACAACAGAAATCGTGCTCCGGCGGCGCGGCAGCAGCAGGAGGCCCCATTAGCTAAAGTGGTGCTTCAGGTTAAGAACAGTTTCAGGTTAAGTACGGACCTCCAGAACGAATTAAGTACTTAACTTGAGGTACCACTGTATTAGTGCTGTTCTTTGCACATATGCAATTTCAACTGAATGAATTACTGTGCCAGAAGGCTAACTCCCAAGTCATGCAGATTAACCATTCAATAGCAGAGCATTTTCTCACTACCTGAGGCACCCTGACAACTTGTTAAAGGTAAAGGACCCCTGGAGGGTTAAGTCCAGTCAAAGGCCACTATGGGGTAGCAGCGCTCATCTCGCTTTCAGGCCAAGGGAGCCAGTGTTTGTCCACAGACAGCTTTCCGAGTCATGTGGTCAGCATAACTAAACCACTTCTGGCGCAACAGGACACCGTTACGGAAACCAGAGCGCACAGAAATGCTGTTTACCTTCCCGCTGCAACGGTACTTATTTATCTACTTGCACTGGTGTGCTTTCGAACTGCTAGGTTGGCAGGAGCTGGGACAAACCAATGGGAGGTCAGTCCGTCACGGGGATTCGAACCGCCAACCTTCCGAACAGCAAGCCCAAGAGGCTCAGTGGTTAGTCCTCATTCCCTTCTGGATGAAACCCTAGAATTTGTTCTGCTTTGGACTTTGCTCCTATCCTGCTTTTTGTGTTATAACACATACAAAGTAGTACAGATGAGCATTATGCCTTTGATCAAGGACAAGAAAGTAAGAGTATTCACTCTGAATGCCACCCCCCTTCCCAATGTGTGCACACAGCAACAGGAATTATGACAGGCTTTATATGTTAGCATCAAGATATATGACCGGAGTGGGGAACCTTTCTGAGTGAAAAGGGCCAGAATCCCTACTGGGCGGCTTTCTGAGTGGGGCCAGAGACAAAAGTAGGCAGATGGGACTCATGTTTGTACACTAGGCTACATTCCAGCCATGAAAAACACCAGACATTTCTACACATCTCTTCCTCTTCCACCCACGCAAGATAGAAGCATTATCACACTTCAGGAGGATATTCCAGCAAGGAAAATGCATGCAAGGAGGGCATGGAAGAGTGACCTGGGGATAATCCTGAGAGCCAAATATAGAGGGTTGGAGTGTTGCCTTTGGCCCCTTGGCCCAAGGCCCTGACATGCAAACACCAACAGTAATACAATGGACGCTCGGGTTGCGAACGTGATCCGTGCGGGAAGCACGTTTGCAACCCACAGCATTCACAACCCGCAGCGCCGTGTGTGCGCACGAACGCAGGTTTCAATTTGGTGCTTCTGTGCATGCGCAATGCACAATTTAGCGCTTCTGCACATGCGCCAAAACCCGGAAGTAACCCGTTCCGGTACTTCCGGGTTCGGCGTGGTGCGCAACCCGAAATCACGCAAACCGAAGTGTCTGTAACCCGAGGTATGACTGTACTTTCAAGCGAAAAGCATTTTTGAACCATTTATTATTTGGGGTATTAAGAGGGAGGGATTTATGCATATGGACCTGTATAAATGGAAACATAGTAGCACATGTAAAAAAATGTACCTGTTTTAAAGAAAGGAGAAGGACATTAATTTATGAACACACAGTGCAAGATATGGCGATCAAAGCTATGGGTGGAACTCAATTCACCGCTAAGGAAAACGGTTCTGTCAGCTCAAGCATTTTTGCTTGTCCAGCTGATCTTCCCTCTCTTTTGTCCACTTGTTGTTCTCCCAACCCACCAGAGAGGACTTGGCGGGGAGTGAGGGAAGGACCCCTGCCCTAGCAAGAGACCTTGCGCTGGCATCCACCAACAGAACAGGTTAGTTGAATCTTGCTGTGTATTTCTTTTGTTCCCTTTTATTGTTTTATTTTATTTTTATTAAAGAATAAAACAGAACATACAAATGACAGATACTAACAATAAAAAATGTATTTATTCAGTACAAGGAGCTTTCGAAGTCAAAAATCAGGAGCTATAGATTTATGAATGGGGTGTAAAAACACAATAGAATGGGTTAGTTAAATCTGGCCCTATATTTCTAGTTCATTTGATGGTGTGTAGGCAGCCTCTTTCATTGTAAAGTCTGTAGAAAAAACTGCAACCTCAAATTACCATTCTGCTACATAGCTCAGCAGATATTCGACAAGTCTCCTTCAGCCTAACTCAGAGTTCTTGCACTGCTAAAATGCTGGGAAGAAAATCAGGAAGGTGCCAGCAACAGGGGAAAGGAAGGAGGGGTACATCCAGGTGCACAATAATTTTTCATTTTTAACTGAGCCCAACACATTCTGAACAAAGTTCTTCCTCAGGGACACTTTTGAACAATAGATTTCAGCCTGGCACCTGTACACTGCGGCAACTTATTTTTTCCTTGGGCACCGGGATATTATCCTTTATGTTTCTTGTACAAAAGACAGGACACAAATATAGTACATAAAACACAGCTGTAATTATAGAAGAATGACCAGAACAGCTACTGTACTTTTCACTCTATAAGACGCACCTTTTCCCCTCCAAAAATTAAGGGGAAATGTGTGTGCGTCCTATGGAGTGAATGCAGGCTCCTTGGCTTTAGCAATAGCAACGCGAAGCCTCCGAAGCTCAGAGGGAGCGCTCCCTCCACGCTCTGGAGGCTTTGCATTGCTTTCGCTGAAGCCTGGAGAGCGAGAGGGGTCAGTGCGCACCGACCCCTCTCGCTCTTCAGGCTTCAGGGATAGCCGCCTGAAGCCTTTGGAGCACAGCAGGAACTCGCTCCAGTGGGAACTTCTCCAGCTTCGCTTGAAGGGGCGCTGCGCAGTTCTCCCTCTCTGCGCAGCGCCTCTCCTTCGCAGGAGAGGCGCTGTGCCGAGAGGAAGAACTGCGCAGCTCCCCTTCAGCCACGCGCCTGCCTGGAAGCCGGAGGCCTGCCGTGGCTTTTGCCTTAGCCGCGTGCAGCCTCTTCAGGCAGGGGAAGTCTTCATCCCGCTGCCCCGAAGAGGCTTGGCGCGGTTATCCCAGAAGCCAGAACAGCCACACGGTATCCCAGAAGCCAGATCCCTCTTGCTGTTCTGGCTTCTGGGATTCAAAATATCTTTTTTCTTGTTTTCCTCCCCCCCAAACTAGGCGCATCTTATCATCTGGTGCGTCCTAAAGAGCGAAAAATACGGTAAATGCTTTAACAAGATAGACAGCTTTCGATACCATCAACCATGGTATCCTTCTGGAGGGCTGTTTGAACTAGGAGTGGGTGGCACTGCTTTGTGGTGGTTCCAGTCCTACTTGGATGGTTGTTCCCAGAGGGCGTTGTTTGGGGAGTGCTTTTCAGCCCCGTGAAGCCTTCAATATGGGGTCCGCAGGGCTTGATACTATCCCCTATGTTGGTCAACATCTACATAAAACTGCTGGGTGGTTTGGAGTACGTTGTCAGCAGGATGCTGATGATACCCAGCTCTATTTCTCCTTTACATCTGCAGGTGAGGCAGTGGAAGTGCTGGACCAGTGTCTTGCCTCAATAATGGACTGGATGAGATCCAACAAACTGAAACTCAATCCAGATAAGACGAGAGACTTTTAGTGGGTGGTTCCCTAGACCGGATGGGTGGGAGATCGCCTGCTCTTGATGGGGTTACACTTCCTCTGAAGGAGCAGGTTCGTAGCTTGGGGGTACTCCTGGATCCTTGGTGTCACTCAAGGCTCAGGTGACCTCGGTGGCCCAGTGCGCCTTCCATCAACTTCAGCTGGTGGCCCAGCTATGCCCCTATCTGGACAGGATAAGCCTAACTACTGTTGTCTATGCTCTAATAACCTCAAGGTTAGATTACTGCAATGCGTTATATGTAGGGCTGCCTCTGAAATGGTTCGGAAACTTCAGCTAGTGCAGAATTCAGAGCCCAGGTTGCTCACTGGAGCAAGACGGTCTGAGCACATTACACCGATCCTGGTCCGACTGCACTGGCATCATTAACCAGGTCTTTGGTTGACTGACATCCTATGTCCTTTTAAAAATTCAAAATGTGTTAATGGGTTGTTTTTGTTTTGATTATGTATTTTGTGGTTTTATATTCTGATTTTATCTTGTGAACCGTCCTGAGACCTACGGATATAGGGCAGTATATAAATTTTAATCATCATCATCATCTTATGAACAATCTGCAATGGAATGGTCTCACAATTTCATTATTTTTAAAAAAAGAATCTTAAATTGATGCCTTGGCATAACCTAATCAGACACCTCATGATGAAGTATTTCTGGGTAGGGCTTACTTTGGTGCTTAATCGGCCATGATCAGTACTATTTATGGCCTGTGACTCTGACACACAAATACCTTTCAAGCAAGCTCAAGGAAGTTGATGTTATTGACACCATCCTTTACACAAGCATCTTAAATCCATTTAATTCCATGCCAATAACTTGCTTAACCTGCAGCAGTTAACCAAATGGTTGGGAAAGCAAAGCAAGCCACAATTTTAAATAAAACAAAATACCAAATTTAAGTTGCCATTAAGGACAAACATACATTACAGGGCAAGAGAGTTAAAAATTATGTTTTCTTTTCCACCATCCTATTTTTGCATGGCCTAAAGCAAAATGCAGACCTGTTTTGCAAACTAGAATATTGAATTTATGCAAATATAGCTGTCCAATTAGATTCATAATAGAAGGCTGACATGCTTTTAGCACCCCAGGGGAACTTGTTTACAGCTCCAGATTGCAGATTAATACCTGAAAGTTAAACCAGAGGTTAATTAAGTCCATCTGGTTGCAAATGACTTTGGAATGTTCAAGGAACAAGAAGATCTCATTTAGAAAACCAAAGTAAATAAAATAAAATAATAAGCAATAAAACTGTTTGTTTACAACGTGGTAGAGATGTACTATGCATCATATTCATGGTACACCAATTACAATAATTTCTACAATTTACCATGGATTATCTAGTGGGGGACTTGTGTGAGACAAAACCTAATGAATAGTCTCAGGAAAAAAATATTCAAACAAGCAAGAAAAGTTTTACTAAACAAGAAAAGTTTATGAAACAAAGTCAGTCAGGAAATGCGTTTTTTCAGGTAGAAGACTTGAGGAAATGGAACAACACCAACTTCACCCTCTAAGCCAAAATGGTTATGACCTAAACGCTCACCCTCCCAAAATTAACCTATTTAAAACTCTTTCAATCTGGATTCCCCCAACCCAACTCTGCAAATAGCAGAAAGAATTACACTCGTTTATCACACAAAAATCCAAGAATAAACCCCAAATACCTACACCTCCCCTCCTCAGTCAGAGGGTGGGGAATTCCCAACATAGAACTATACTACATTGTCAACCAAGTGCACCACATAATCCCATACATTTTAGAAGACTAGCCAAAACATTGGGCACACTTGGAGAGAGACATCGTCAAAAATACCTCCACCACAGCATACCCATTCTTCCCAAACAACCTAAGGAAAATCCCCACACTAAACAGGTTCACACAAACCATACTTAAAGCATGGAAGGAAGAAGCAGGTAAACTGTCTCCAACTCCATCTCCACTAATTTCCCTGGCTCACCACCCATTATTCCACCATGCAGCACAAAACTCCCAGATAAAGCCAAAGTCTTATACCACCTAGCAGACCTCTACAAAAATAACAAACCCACACCAACACAAGAAATACAAGACAAACTAGGGGACACCCAAATGCCCTGGCTAACACACCACCAATTACATGCCTTCTTCAACAATCCAGTAGTAAAATCAGCAGCAACTAGGCCCCTGACAACCTTCGAAAAGCTTCTCCTAACACGGCAAGGGGATAGCATCCACAATATTCAAAATAGTGCTCCAAAATCCCACAAACCCCCTCAATGGAATAAAAATACAATGGGAGGACGACATAGGCTATGAGATTAACGCCACCCAATGGACTAGAATGTGGTCTAAACTTCCCTTTAAATCCATCTCAGATAAAAGAAAAGAACACACCCTGAAACTCATTTATACAATGGAAACTAGCGCTGATACACCCAGGAGCCTCACCAAAATGCTGGAGAGGTGACACTTCCACCGGCACATATTTCCACATGTGGTGGGAATGTCCCAAAATCCAACTCTTCTGGACATCAGCCATACAAGAAATATGCAAAATAACTAAGCAAGTATTAGAAGTCACCGCACAACTGGCCCTACTGAACATCTTCCAAGTTAATAATGCCCACTCACATCACAAAAAAGCTCATAACCCACCTACTGTCAGCAACCAGAAGCATCATAGCCAGACATTGGAGACATGTCAGGAGTAAACATGGACCAACAGAAAAGCCATAATAGAAGAACCAACCAATAAACTGAAACTGACATGGGGACAAATAGAAGAAGACACCTTTATCACATACATAGTCCAACAAGATAACAAGAAGAATCTGTTCACAGCTACAAATCAATCTGGCTAACCTGATCCAAATATGTACACACATAAACAAATCTCACTACAGCCAACCACTCCCTAGACCACCCCCAACCTCTCTTACCACCAAGGAAATACAACAAGCAAATAGCAAGAGAACCCATACGTGACACTGACACAAAACCCCAAACATACACTAAGAAGAAGAATAGAAGCATTAGTACCCCACCCCACTCACCATTCCCCCATCCTCCGCTTTTCTTCCCAACCTAATATTGCATGCAACACTAATGTTTCACAACGAATGAAACTGATCTCTAGAAAACACAACTTGAAAAAAGAGACAATGCATGTATTTTTATATATATATTAATAAAAAATATAAACAAACAAACAGCAATACAGTGAATGACCAATTGACGCAAAATCGCACGCACACACACAGCACCGAACCTGTAAATGACCCTAAAATGTCATTAAAGGGGCAATACAGGAGAGGAGCAGAACGCTTTACACGGGGTCTGGAATGTAACCCCCGTGCAAAACTAGGATTGCCTGTAAGAAAAACTTCCTTAACTAAGCATAAGAGGGGGCTGATGTTCAAAGACTCAAAATCCTACTTAAATAAAATAGTGCAAAACCATCCTTACAAAAAAAAAAAAACAACCAAAGCAACAAAAACAATACACAGCAAAATGTACTACACAATGTGCTAAATCTTTAAACAAGTTTCTGCAAGTAGGCACACAACAAACCACAACTCTTAACATCACCACCTTTCAAGCAGTAGAGCAGAGTTGCTGATGAGAGCTGATATAGCATAATGACTTAGAATGAACTGTGAACCAAAGTATTCCAAGACTGAAATCTAGCATCATTTTTGATCTCATTATGAAGATTTCACTTAGCCTTTCGTCTGCAATACAGAAACAGCAACACTGTCGTACCTTGCACAATTGTTGTAAGGATTCCCAAAGAGCTTTACACATTACAACCTGCTATATAAATGCTATCTGTTGTTGTTTTTTATTGCTCCACAGACCACATTGACTCAGCTCCTTGTTAGCTCTGGCTTGCCTCTCCAAAACCAGACCTTTCTGCAACCTCCTGCTGACTCCAAATTGCCTAGAATACCCTGCTACGACAAGCGGCCAACAACTGAGCTCGTGACCTTTGCCTGCAGGTCCCTTCTCCCCACGGCTTCCAGTCCTAGGTCAAGACAGTAATTAAATATGGTCTGTTGTGTTCACTAACAAGAGCAGTAAAGACTGAAGAAAAGGGACCAGTACAGCTTTCAGTATCTTACCTTCAGATGTTTTCCAGCGTTTCCACAGATCTTCAACGGTGATGTGTTTGTCTTCCCGGTGTAGATGGTTGTGCTTATTAGAAGCGTCTTTATATTTCATATCTTCTCTGATAAACTGGAAAAGAAAGAAAGTTAGGTCAGAGAGTTCTTGCAGCTAAGACACTAAAAGTGGTGGGTTAAAGGGGGTAAAGGGACCCCATTAGGTCCAGTCGTGACCGGCTCTATAGGCCGAGGGAGCTGGCGTTTGTCCGCAGACAACTTCCAGGTCATGTGGCCAGCATGACTAAGCCACTTCTGGCGAACCAGAGCAGCCACGGAAACGCCGTTTACCTTCCCGCCGGAACGGTACCTATTTATCTACTTGCACTTTGACGTGCTTTCGAACTGCTAGGTGGGCAGGAGCAGCGACCGAGCAATGGGAGCTCACCCCGTCTCAGGGATTCGAACCACTGACCTTCATGATCTGCAAGTGCTAGGCTCTGTGCTTTAACCCACAGCGCCACCCGCGTCCCTAACAGTCGTGGGTTACAAACCCCCAAATTGGTGGTACTTAAAAAGATCCACTTGGTACTTCATCACCAATTTCCCCTTACTTCCATTCACAATTCTCAATCCTTCATTTGTCATTAGATGCTCATTGTAATTCAGAGAACGCAATGGTTTCAGTACAGTTCAATACAGTACAGGCAGAATATCCACATCTGTGCTCCTGAAAAATGTGGAGCGACTTGCATTGCACTAGCACTGTAGAATTAAGTGCTTTTGAATTGTTGTTTTTAAAAATAGTAATAGAATCAAACTCTTTCCTCACTGCTTTATGGCCATACCTTTATGGTCTCACACAGGTTCAACCTTTGATCATGACTGCTGCTTCAACCAAATTATTATACAGTTTTTCCTAGTATTTTTGTTGCTTGGTATTTCAAAATAAAAAAATTCCTTCCAGTAGCACCTTAGAGACCAACTAAGTCTATTATTGGTATGAGCTTTCGTGTGCATGCACACTTCTTCAGTAACTTGGTATTTCAAGTTACTTTTAAATGCTGATTTGCATTACCCAACTGATGCAGGTCAGAGTTTGAAACTGAAAATGAAAAGGGCCTCCCATATGAATGCTTCTTATTCTGAGAACCGCCCTGAGACCTCCGGGTATAGGGCGGTATATAAATTCAATTAATAATAATAATAATGCAGCAATGGGCTAGATTATGTTTATATAAACCATTAAATTGGGCTTTTTTTGCTTTGGTACTGGACTCAATTCTCAATATTCTCTAGTTGGCCTCTGTTATTTTCTCCGACCAATAGAGAACCTACAAAGGACTCTATAAGGGTTCTTGTGTCCCCCATAAGGGAATTAGGGCAGATTTTTGTTTATTACACAGGGAACCAGGCAGAGGGCCTTCTTGGTAGTGGCACCCGCCCTGTGGAATGCCCTCCCACCAGATGTCAAAGAGAAAAACAACTACCTGACATTCAAAAGACATCTGAAGAGAAGACATCTTCCCCGCTTAGGGAAGTTTTTAATGTTTAATAGACTATTGTATTTTAATATTCTGTTGGAAGCCGCCCAGAGTGGCTGAGTATAACTAATTTATTTTTATTCTTCTTATTATTATCATTATCATCATCATCATCATCATCATCATGTGTGTGCAAGCACAGTACAGCAAGTTACTGACAGCACAAATCTGAAACCAGAGAGGAACTTAGAAGGATGTGGGCTGACCCTGCATTAACAACAGTGATCCCCCAACCCCTTGTGGAAGCTGTGCTGTTCTCCTTTGCCTCTGAAAGGAGGATGCAACTCTCCCTGGCACAGGGGAGAAGGAGCTGTTATTTCACCCTAGGGCTCCTTCATGCTGGATCTGGGATCTAGTGGGCTGCCTTTAAAAGTATGGGAAGCTGCTGGGGTGCAGCACTGTCAGAGGAATACATTTAGAAGGGCTTGCTCCTTTGGCAAGCCGCTTTGGCAAACAGAGAGGCTGCAAGGAAAGGCTGCTGCTGCAGCAGCATTTGAGACACTGAAGGAAAGGTCTTTGGCTGCATGAAAGAAGAGAGTTTAAAACCTGTTTAAGTAAACACATAAAACCTGTCAGGGATGTGGAGACTAACTAAAACAATGGATTACAGTTCTGTTGAAACGGAAGCATTAAGTAAAGCTTACCAACTGAGATTGTGATGTAGATATGGACATTTAACTCTTTAAGTAGCCTTGACCTTGATAGAAATAAGATTACTATTTGACAGCTTATTTGGGAAACGTATTTGACATTACTCCTTGCAAGCATTACTCCTGTGCAACCTAACCTCTGGTTTTCCCAGGCCAAAACTGTACAGTGTACACCGATAAAATTGTCACTAAACACAGGAACTATCAAACCGAATCAATTAAACTAAACATATCTAAATGAACTTGAGAGACTTTATAAGCATTTTGGGCATGCACTGGCTGTGACTGAACAAGCTAGAGTTCGAAATTACATCACCTTGGACTACTTAGAGTGAGTTTTGAACTTACTTAAAACACATTGGACTGACTTAAATTGAAAGAAACATTAGTGACCAGATTTGGCAAAGAAACAGACCATCTTGATTTCTTAGATTTTAAAGAAATGGATGAATATCCTCTATGAGTTATTTGATTTACATATATGGATAGTATTCATTATACTCTATCGAATGAACTGATTTTTAAAAGACATATATGATTTCAGCTAAGAATGAATGAATATAACCTTATATAGAAGTGTAAGGTAAAGATAAAGGGTAAAGGACCCCTGAAGGGTTAAGTCCAGTCAAAGGAGACTATGGGGTTGCAGCGCTCATCTCGCTTTCAGGCCGAGGGAGCCAATGTTTGTCCACAGACAGCTTTCCGGGTCATGTTGCCAGGATGACTTAACTGTTTCTGGCGCAACGGGACACTGTGATGGAAACCAGAGCGCACGGAAATGCCGTTTACCTTCCCGCCCCAGCAGTACCTATTTATCTACTTGCACTGGCATGCTTTTGAACTGCTAGGTTGGCAGGAGCTGGGACAGAGCAACGGGAGCTCACTCCGTCCTGGGGATTCGAACCACCGACCTTCTGATTGGCAAGCCCAAGAGGCTCAGTAGTTTAGACCACAGCGCCACCTGCGTCCTTATAGAAGCGTATTGGGTGTTAGGGGAGAGGGTAGTACCTCTGGTGAGGAACACATCAGGCTCCTTCTGGGGTAGTGTGTCTACCTTTGGTCCCCACCCGGCACTAAACTCTCACCTGTGGCTCCTAGAAACTGTCAGCATATCACAGCAGCCACACCCTGGGAAACTGCTTTGACTGCAGCCTCGGCAGGCCCCGTTGAGCCCATCAGAAGGCGTGCAGGGTTCCATCGGGCCTCCTCCCACCGTCTGACGTCACAAATGCTGCACACATGATGTCGCGCACACACTGCACACGTAATGTCACATGTACACACATCTCTCCCCCCCTCCCCATGTTGACTGGAACCCAGCACACCTCGGCATGGGAAACATTATATTCTTCCTGCCTCTAGTATTTTTTATTGGAACCTCTGAAGGCTTGCATTCTTCTAAAATCTAAAGTTGCCAGTAAGTCTCACGAGAACAAGAATAGACTTGCAAAGTATGTATCAATTTTAGCAGCGCAGCTAATGTGCTCAAAATATTTAGGGGGGGGGGGTTCATCTCTAGCTTCTGAACAAGCAACATACATGCTGCCATTATAATTGGATAATCATTTCCTAACTGAATTTTTTAAGGCAGGAATACAAAGCAAGTTTTTAAATATGCTGAAAAACTTGAACCCCAAGTTACACCAGAAAATCCTGGAGATCCAAATCATATCATTTTCAAACCTGGTTTGGTACTTTAGCAAGATTCAACTCTTTGGAAGTGGAAAACTAGTAATAGGAACAGGTTGAAACCTCCCTGTGATTTAAAAAAACAACTATCTGCAGAGAGCTTTTTTTAAAAAAAAATGGGAATGTTTAAAAGCTAGTTCTTCCATCCACAGTCTAAAATGGTGGAGTCCTTCTACCACCTCACTTTGCTCATAGGAAGAGCCAGACAAAAAAATCATTTTTTTTCCAAGAAACCTCAAGGACATAAGTTTAGAAACTTATGTATATTAGAGTAGCAAGGAAAAATACAGATAGCTTCCCTTTTTTTGCATGCCCAGACTGGTAGCAAAGATCAGACGCTCTCTAGTTTTAAAGATGTAATGGGGAAAGAAACTGATCTTTGCTACCAATTTGGACTGTGTTAGACTACAACCTCCATTACTGAGCCAGTGGACATAGTCTCCGATGTGAAGTTGAGCAGCCTTTCACAATAAGTGTGGGGGAAATATCCAAATGCTTTTGCTCTGTATTAGGAAACACAATGAATGCAGCCAAACATTCACAATACTCACAGTCATTCAACCACAAAAAAAGGATTGGGGAAGTTGGATTTTCTGAAAACAAGGCTCATCACTTCTAGCATAAACAACCATCAAGGACACTTCCTTTTACGTAAAATGTTCTTACTTTCATTTGGCAAGCCTGGTCTTGTTCTAGCAAGTAGTCTTTGTGAAAAGAAAAGAAACGGTATCCTCAAAAGCCCCCAAATTCAAAATACAAACCAAAGTGTTAAATGCTGCTTGGAAATATTTGGGATCACACTCCTAAAGTGGAATGTTGACATATTGATACCAACATCTACAAATTCTTACTCTAGCCAATTTAGTTGCTGCAAAAGAAAAGCACCTTTTGGGATCGTAGTCCCAAGGCATAAAAAAAGCCTACTTGCAAGTCAGCAATAACAGCAACCATTTATTAAAATGGGCTTTCCAAGAGACAATGAGATAATTTCAATCGTCAGTTAAAACACATCAAGCTGAATGTAGAATGCCTCACAATTGTAACCAGCCTGCAAATGAAGCTTAGCCTCACTTTTTAAATTTTAAAATCCTCAGTATTTGTGATATGTAGTTTCTCACTAGCACATTAAGTTGCTTTGGCTTTAAGTCCAGGAACATTTCCAATGGTCCTAGAACGCAATACCAAAGGCAGCCCTACTACTTTTCTTAGGAGGCTCTAAGAATGGCAAAATGCACAGGGAATTAATTTTTTCAAAAAAAAATTTTAAAAAAATTCATACTCTACCATACAATCAGCAGTCTCCAAGAAGCTTTTACATAAGACTAACACAAGGGACACAGGTGGAGCTGTGGGTTAAACCACAGAGCCTAGGACTTGCCAATCAGAAGGTCGGTGGTTCGAATCCCCACGACGGGGTGAGCTCCCGTTGCTCAGTCCCTGTTCCTGCCCACCTAGCAGTTCGAAAGCGCGTCAAAATGCAAGTAGATAAATAGGTACCACTCCGACGGGAAGATAAACAGCGTCTGTGTGCTGTTCTGGTTTCGCCAGAAGCGGTTTAGTCATGCTGGCCACATGACCCGGAAGCTGTACGCCGGCTCCCTCGGCCAATAAAGCGAGATGAGCGCCACAACCCCAGTGTCGGTCACGACTGGACCTAATGGTCAGGGGTCCCTTTACCTTTACCTTTAACACAAGTACAGCACAAGTACAAAAAAAATCAAGCTCCAAACCACATCAACCTAAATAGTAGCTTATACAATTCATTAACAGCATAGTTATTTTATGCCACTCTAAGCCTAGAATAACAAAACAGTTTTCATCTACTGCCTGAAGGATAACAGAGCGGGTAGCAGGCAAGTTCACACAGATGGGTTTCCTAACATCTCTGATGCAATTTCCTGTGGATATGGCAGGTGGTCCAGGTCAATCAGGAGAATGCTTAAGTGATTCAGTCTGCAGAAACAATCACATTTAAATTCCCCTTTCCACTGGACAGTGTTCATTCCGCTTGTTGGCATTCCTATCCATGAAACAATTGGATTGATGGCTTTACTGCAAATGGAAAACTCAGAACAACTGCCTGAACACAAACTAGAGTTCATTTTAGAGCCTACTCTGTGGAGGTAAATGAACCAAAGAATGCACAAGGACTTCCAGGAGACTAGTTTTGAAAGCAGGCGTCCTACAGACTTGAGTGGATCAAATAGATCCCTCAACACACCACCACCAATTCTTTTCAAAACCCCTTTCTACAGGTAACACTGCTTGCCTCAGATGCAAGGTGTTCAAAGAGCTGTAGCCTACAACCCTGAAGTTTGGATCTAGACAACCGCAACAACTCCTGTGTTGCAATTCTCTCCTTCTGGGCCACAGTACTCAGCCAGAAGGTAGCAGTTCAATTCCAGGCATTTGTAGATGATGCCAATTACGTGGACCCATTTCAATCTGGCTTCCAGCTCAGATGTGGCACAGAAACTACCTTGGTCATTCTGTGGGTGGCATGCAAAAGGATAAGGGCAGGGGTGTGAATCTGCAGCTGCTTCTCAGTATGAAAGGTTTCTTTCGAGACCACCTCTCTGGGATGAGTATGTTCATGTTTACTCTGGTGGGCGTATTCAAGAAAGTGGAGCTGAGGAAAAGTAGTTCACTGCTATGTGTTCCCCAGGCTTCTAGTCCAGTCCCCATCCTACTGAAAATTGTTGATGGAGCTGCTGGGTGAGATTTTTCTGATATTTGGAGTAAGGGATCATTGGTATGCTATTTCTCCTTTTCATCTGAACAAGGAAAGGCAGTGGAAATTATGAACAGGTGCCAAGAATGAACAATGCCCTGGTCTAAGAAACTGAGGCTTAATCTAGATCAGGATGCTGTGGACATGACATCTGACCTGTTCTGGATGGAGTTGCACTCACCCTTAAAGAGCATGTTGGAAGCCTCAATGTATCTCCAGGATCCTATACGATCTAGCACTTTCACTAGATGCTCAAATCCAGTGACGCAAGCACATTTACTAGCCAGGCACTTCCTAGACAGATATATGTTTTATACATTTATTCACACTAGATTACTAGTGTGTGGGGGGGAGTTGCCTTTGGAGACTATCCAAAAACCTCTAGCTGCTTCAGAACATAGCAGCTAGATTATTAACTAGAATGTGCCAGCCTAAATATCTCATCTGTCTTCCAGTCTCATGACTGGCTTCCAATGTTACTCCAGGCACAACTGAAGAAGCTTTAATGCTCTAAACAGCTTGGTACAGAGGTAGTTGTGCCTACCCAGTTTTTCAGATCTGCTTCAGGGATTCTCCCTCCAGGTGGGCCAGGCTTTAGTGGTTAGAAGGGTGGCCATCAAAAAGACAACCATTCCAGTGTTGGACCTTGTCTGTGGAATAACTTCCCAAGCAGATCTGTGAGGCACAAATATTGTCTTTTTAAGATGACAGGTTAAGTGATATATCCACCAAAGTGCTACTCAGAGTAGATGAAAAAAGAACTTAAGTTAGTCATGCCCATTAAAATTAATTAATATAATAGAAGCATCAAGTTGTAGAGTTGCAAGGGAACACGAGGGTCATCTAGTCCAACCCCCTGCAATGCAGGAATCTTTGCCCCCAATGAGAGGCTTGTCAATATGTCTACTCAGAGTAGGACTAGCATTGGCTATAACCCTAAAACTTTTCATTTTAAATAATTATTTACAATTTTCTGCTTTTATTGTTAATAATTAATAAACACAATTTACTGTATTTTTCCATCTATAAGACACCTCTATGTATACGACGCCCCCTATTTTTGAGGGCTCAGGTTTAAGAAAATGGGGGACATGTATCCATGTATAAGACACCCCCTAATTGCTGACATTACTTTTTAGGAAAAAACCTTAGTCTTATACATGGAAAAATACGGTAAGTGGCATACACAGATTAAAATCAAGACATTCTCCATCTGCAGAGAGATGGAGAAGGGAAAGGAAAAAAACAAACTTAGGCAACAGTTCTTAAACTTATAATGAAATGTAAATAGTTCACAGAGAGAAGCCAACTAGAGCTAGCCTTTCAGCTAAATCAATGGAATGGGCTCTGCCCATCTCTTTGGCAGGGTTAGCCAGGTTGAATGACTAATATATTTTCAATGCTGTATGGGGTTCTGCTTTGTCAATTTAATTTGTGCTTTTTAGTTGTTTTAGTTGGATGACCGATAGAAAGCTGCTTTGGAATTTGATTTTTTTTAATCTGCAACCCATGTTCCATGAAAGTAGGAGAAATCTAGCAACATTACGACACACTATGAAAGCTGAAAACAATGTTTTAGTATGACTGGAGGAAAACATTCCAACACTCCTATGTAGGTTTTGCTAAATGTTTCCAATGGATTCTCTTCATTTGATATGTAATGACATAGAGTTAGGTTTTTTAAAAATCATAAATAAAAGGTTTAACACAAAATTGTCTTGAATTGGAGTAGTATTGTCACATGAGCACTATTGCCAGAAAAATCAATAGCTATGTGGCCATTTCCAAGCTCAATTTGGATCAATAAATGTAAGTTCATTGTAATAAGCATTAACTGTTTTTCCTTAATATTCACACATTGAATGCAGGATTGAAATCTGTACAGTATATGAACCCGCTTTATAGAGTCAGGCTGTTGATTCTTCTTGGGAGACAGCATTCCAGAGTCTCAGACATATGTTTCCCCAAATACCTTCTACCAACTATGGGGAAAGTGGGGGGATGCTGAATCACATACATAAGGGATGTCCATTTGTGATTTGTTTTTATTATCCTATAAAAGCTGCTCAAATGCTCAGTAAACCCAGTTAGAAGAGCCTGCTGGAACAGATCAATGCCCCATCTAGTCTGTGGCCACAGCAAGCAGGACATGAATGTAAGAGCAGTCTTCCCTTCTGCAGTTTCGAGGAACTGGTACAGTGGTACCTTGGTTTACGAACTTAATCCGTTCCAGAAGTCTGTTCTTAAACCAAAGCTGTTCTTAAACCGAAGTGCGCTTTCCCTAATGAGGCCTCCCGCCGCCAGTGCCCTTCCACCGTTCGGCTTCCGTTTATAGACAAAAGTAAAGTTCGCTAACCGGAACACTACTTCCAGTTGTGAACACTACCGAATAGTTCGTAAACAGGGCTGTTCTTAAACCGAGGTGTGGCGTTCGTACAGAGCCCCCGGTTGTCTCACGGACTATTGACCCGTACACCACTAATCCGCTGCCACCAACGAGATCCTCCCTGTAAAATCACTTCAGTCTCAGTCAGCTTCTCAAGAAGAGTGTATTTTATTTCAGACACAAACAAACTTTTACGGCATTCCAAAGGTGGTTGCTCTTTACTTTCTTAGTCTTATTTTCCTCTCTATCTCTTCTACCTCCCCACACTCAAGAACCCACTGCCCTAACTGTCTCTCTATTACCAACTGCCTTTCCCAACCAGCCAACCCGCTAAAACCAACCAACTACCCACCAACAACTCCCAACGAACTCCACCCAGAACTGGTTTTATAGTCCCACTGACTTCACCCCACCCCCTAGGTCCTGCCTGGGCAACCTGTTTAACTATTTACCTCCAGGACTCTCTCTTATGTTAACGTCACACGAGGTACCACTGTATCTTAAAATAGTCGTTTATACTCTGTGGCATGAGTTGAAAGCATACAGCATTTAAGTTCACCCCACTTTTTCTAGTCTGCTTTAGCATAAAGTCTGTCCATAGCATGGGAGAGAGGGGAGGACTCAAAACGCCTCTTCCTTACACCTCCAACCTTGTTATACAAGCTGCCCTAAATCAAGAGGAGCAGAAGCAGCTGAGAAATTCACACCTTCTACTGCCTTTCATAGTGACTGCTACACTGGAGGCCAGGACATGCTCGAGACCGAGGAGTAAGGGTCAAGTTCGTACCATCGGCAGCTTTCCTGTACCCTGCCCTACATTCTGTATTCCTAAATGCGCAACTTTGTTTCTGACAGCATTAAAATGAATGTGACCATTTCCCACTTTCCCATCGGGCACAGTGCTATTTTCCCCCCAGTTATAGTAGCAATTGTGCTTGAAAATGCATGATATTCTCCTTGAATGTTTGTTAACATTCACAATCCCTATCCTATAAAAAGTCCATGTGTGATTTTCTCTGCACTACTGGTTACAACTGGACTTTCCACTTCACCATCGGGCACAGTGCTATTCTTTTCCAGAGTTATAGTAACAATTGCGCTTGAAAATGCATAAGATTCTCCCCAAATGTTTGCTAACATTCAAAATCCCTATAAAAAGTCCATGTGTTATTTTCTCTGCACTACTGGTTACAACTGAACTGCCAAACTTTTCACAGCATTGTTTTTAATGCCAAATAGTTATCATCAAAGTACGGCTAAATTTTGAAAATTTAACATGACTAAATTGTAGGCGTTAATTTGGTGTTTTTAAAGAAAGCATGTTCTTGGCCCGCTAACAAAACTTTTTAATAGACTAGCGATCCTTAAAGAGGCTCATGAATATAGTAGAGTTTCCTATGAAGTGATATGATGCAAAATTGTATATGAAAAAAGCAAACAGCTGTAGCAGGGTAAGAAAAGCAGTGACAGTAATACACTATGGACAGCTGTATAAGCTGAAGACTTGGCACTCCTACTCAAAACTTTTTAAAAGCAGTGCTTTGTCAAAGTAAGCACAGAAAATCCAGCAAGATTCTCTTCCATTTCTATTTCCCTTGTTCTCTACTTCACTAATAATCTTCATACAGTTTACTAAAAATAGAATTCGGTAACATTTTCTTATTGCAAAGTAAATCAAAATACTTAGTCTGCTAAAATATAGATTACTGTTTAGTCTTAAAACTTGGCACTTATTTTGGCATAATACTTTACATCACTATGGTTGTGTAAAGATTGTTTACTCTCTCATAGTTTCTGCTTCTTTGGGGAAGCAACTGTCATTATATTGAGAAGGCTCCCTCTGTGCAGCTCTGCAGGTTCTTTTGCAGATTAGCACCTGGACAGACAATAACCCATTGGGCTGTCATACTTACCAACAACTGCAGCTTAGTCGTACTCAGCCCAGTGTTCCAGGGTGTAGAAGGGTATCAGGGGTAAGGTTGGAGCTGGGAGGGGTGCAAAAAAGGGTCTCTTAGAGGGGGGAGAAGGGGACATATGGAAGGATCTTTTCCGGGAGTGATTGGGGGGGAAGGGTTTCAGGGGGCAGGGGGCATATTTGGGGGTGGGCTGAAGGGAGAAGGAGCAAAGGAGGGGGGCAAAGTCTGAGGGGGACACAGGGGGAGGGGGGAAGGAGGGAGGGGGATATCTTCAGGGAAGATCTCAGGGGGAGGGGCATATTCGGGGAGGGGGAAGGCGGGAGGGGGATATCTTCAGGGAAGATCTCAGGGGGGAGGGGGCAAATTCAGGGAGGGGGGAGGCGGGAGGGGGATATCTTCAGGGAAGATCTCAAAAGGATTGATATGTTTCATAGACAGCTGAATTGGTCTATTTCAATATATCTGACTATAAATGGTAAGCAAAATTTTCTTCTTTGTAAGTTCATTAGTAGCAATGAACAGACGACAATTGTAAATATGACCTTAGACGAGTATGGAAGTTTCAAACGATCTTGTTTTGCTTCCTAATGCAAGTAAATTAGATCATTAGTAGAGTATCAGCAAAATTTCTGGTTCAAAATTTTCCAGAAAAGCTACACCACTAATGTAAAGCATAAACTCCATAGCTGCAAGGGGTATAACAAAACAGTGGTAAGTTAATTGTTTATGTGCTCCTTTTCATACAAAATTCCATTTTTAAGGAAGATATTCAGAGTAATATATTTTCTTCACGTACCTCGTCACTTTCATCTACTTCAATGCCCCCATCTTTGTCATCATCCATTTGTTTATGAATTGTGCGAAGAGCTTCCAGGCTGTATTTATCTTCCTCAGTGAAACATGGTGGACTCAGTAAATGGCAAGGATCTAATGGACAAAAATCAGAAACAATTCTTAACAATTTGGGCTTCAAGAGGGAAATGGAGGAAACAAAACGTTACTTTCAAGTTTTTAGGAATTATTAATCTCAGTTCATAATAGTAGGGCCCAAGTTCCATGCTACTGAACTGTCATTGGCCCAAGTCCGCTTACCCTTTCAATGTGGTGGCACTGCAGAACGGCTGAGGCTCCACTGGGACCCCAAAAAGGGAATCATGACCTCAGTGCCCCTTCCTGATAGGTGGCAAAGCCATAAGCCCCACCGCCTATCAGGAGCCGGATCCTGGCTTGCATCCTGGTTTGGCGAATGGGAATGCAGGCTTGGAGCTGACGAAGCGGTCTGCTCCATGGCTATTTAAACAGCCCTCACCTGGGGTCCTAGCTCATAGTCAAGGGCTTTGCTGTGGCTATGGTGGTTGCCATTTTATGGGGCCAGGTACGAATTTGTCCACCAGGCAAATTGGCTCCAGCCCGGTGGTTTTGCCTACTTCAGAGCAATCATCACATCTGGGTTGGGCATTGGGGCAATCCTTTATTTTGGATGGAGGGGAGGTTGTCGTCTCCACCTGCCCCTGCAAATGCTGGGGTATCCCATTAAAGGGATTTGGGGGGGGAGTGGACATGTCCGCGTGCCCAGGCACGCGGGCTGAAGGCACTCCCCCAGACAGTGGTCCCTGTGGGCGGTCACTCTATTTGATGTAAGTCTTAGGAACCCGCACCTGAATTGACCTACGAATCACTTCTGGTGGGCAGGCCAGAAGTATTCCGATTGCCCCATGCCCAAGCCAAACCTCTTTCATCTGTATTCAATAAAGCTGTGACCTTTTTCGGTCCAAACCAGTCTTAGTGGTCTTTTATTTATACGGGTTGGGGATTGGTGAGCAACATGCCAGGACCTGCAATTCACACACTCCTATATAGCATGGGAAATGCTTCACAACAATGCCACTACAGAGCGTACAAGAACACTGGACCACACAGGCTGAATCAGTTAACATAGGTTTTGCTCATCAAATCTCTGGCCTCTTCTTCAGCCACATGCTAATCAGGTAAGAATGACCCTCATGAGCGGCAATTCTAGTCTTCATATTCATACACACACACACACACACACACACACACACAAACACAACACACAGGAGTGTGTGAATAATAATAATAAAGATAGGAAGCTTTAAACAAAACAGAGCCAAGCAGTTCTATCCTGTTTCCACTTGCTGTTTTTATTTAATCCACTCCACTTGGTTTATTTAAACCAAAGACTTGTACACTGACCACTAATAATGAATCATATGTTGTAGATATTATTGCAAATTTATTATGCTATTTTTGCGATGTACAAATGACATTCGAAGACTTGGTCTTTTTATTTATACAGTTTATTATTCCTATGATCCTTGTTTATAAAATCCAGTAAAAGGTTACTTCAAAAAAGGGGGCAAATAATAAACAATAACAAACTAAAAAGCAGCAAGTACAACATAACTTATTACTGGGAAGCAGCTGTTAATAGCTTCTCCAACATGAGTGTTTTTCATACAAACATACAACAGTGGGGGTGGGAGGTGGTAGGTGGGAAAGTCCACACACAATGTGGAGTGCAAGAGTGTAGAACAAATTTGCTGGAAGCACCCATTACATTAGACTAGAAGCGATCCAAGCTTCTTCATCCTATAATACTATGTTTTGGGCAGAACAGCTAAGTGGGATCTCCCTGCAGAGAGCTGGGGGCAAGAGGAGGTAGAAATGTCGGAAATGCAAATAAAGGAAGCAGAAGCAGCCGTGCAGTTAAAGAGGAAGTTGGGCAGCGGTGAGGTGGTACCAGTGGGTCACCAGTAGCTCCCCGACTGTACTACTAGGTGCCACAAGTCCTTCTTAATTTTCTTCCACAAACAGAAATTGTGGGCTTCCCATAGGCATCTGGATGCAAAAGGCCCTTGGTCTGATCCAGCAGAGCTCTTTGTATGTTCTCATGCCAGCCTGTGCTGTTATGACCTGTCTGAATTTCCTTGCACAGCACAAAGCATTCTCCCACAAAAGATTCTGCAGAAAACGGGGGAAAGGAGAAGTATTTAAGCATTCTGAGTAAATTAGTTCTTGGCATCCGACAAGGCCATCAAACTTAAATGTGCTTTCAATTTATTTTCCTGCAGGAAACATATTGTATACCACAGAGGAAATCTAAGTTATTGCTATTAAATGACAGCTTATCCAGAACGGAAGTCTTTTAATTAACAGCTTTGGTCACCCTGTATGATGATCTCTGTCAGGAGACAGACAGGGGAAATGTCTTCATTTTCCTTGACCTCTCAGCGTCTTTCAATACCATCGACCATGATAGCCTTCTGGAGCAGCTGTCTGAGTTATGGGTGGATGGCACAGCTTTGTGGTCCTACTTGGATGGTCGTTTCCAGAGGGTGACGCTTGGGGTGTGCTCTTCGGCCCTGTGGTGCTCTCAATGTGGGTTCCTAAGGATTCAATTTTATCCCCCATGCTGTTTAACATCAACATGAAGTTGTCAGCAATATGCTGATGGCACATGGCCTTACTTTCTCTGGACCATTACTGTCTTTGGCAATGGACTGGATGAGAGCCAACAAACTGAAGCATAATCCAAACAGGACTGAGGCACTGTTAGTGGGTGGTTCCCTAGACCGCATGGATGGAAGGCTGCCTCCTTTTGTTTTTGTTCAAAAAAATTTATTGATTTTCCAGAATTTTTAAACAATCAAACAAACATCTTAACTGTACTTAATCCAATCTTACTAACATTGTTAAGTGACTTCCTCAAATCCCCCTAGCTGAATTTCAGTGTATTTCATTGTAACAGTTTTCCAAAACCAATTTTCTCATAAAATTAACTTAATCACTTAACATCTTTCTTCCTTTTCATTTTAACTTTAAAGATATTATTCTCTAACATCACATATTTAAATCCTAGGCCTATCTGGTATCTGCAAGTTTTTCCAATTAAGTTATCTTAGCAGATTTAACTAAATAGTCTTTGAATTTCATCCATTCCTCCTGGTACTCCTCCTCCTTCTGGTCGCGGTCTCTTCCAGTCAGGTCAGCTAGCTCCAAAAAGTCCATCATCTTCATCTGCCATTCCTCCACTGTTGGGACTTCTTGTGTTGGAAGGCTGCCTCCTTTTGATGGAGTTAACCACCCTCTGAAAGAGCGGGTACACAGACTAGGGGACTACTGCATCCTTTGCTGTCGCTTGAGGCTCAGTGGCTTCAATAAGCTCTTTCCACAGCGTGATTTCTAGCTCTCTATTTGTATTAGCCTGCCGGTCCCAGTAAAACCTGCTCTGGAGGGATTTTTTAAAGCCCTCCGCCTCACTTACTGGACTCTGGGAAGGTCATGTGAGGGCCATGGAGGGTTGCCCATCCTTTACAGAGTTTAGTAAGCAAGATGCGGGGGGCAATGCCTGTTCGAGACAAGTAGGGATGGTCATGCAGAGGGAAGGTTCTGGATGTTCCTGGCTTTACATGGTTTTGTGTTTACACAAAGACCCTCAAAAGCAAACCCTCACGTAAGCTGCAAGTTACCAGTACTAAATTTCATATCTCTTCACAAACATACATTGAATTGTCCCATACTTTGAATCATATTTCATCACAGCAGAGGCTAAACCTTTGTGATGATGCAAAAATGACAAAATGCTGCTTTTAATCAGTTTCACTGGGGATATCAGCTGCATCTCTTCTCTGGCTACAGATATCAATGTTCTATTAGAATCCAGTGTTGACAACTACAACATGTTTTAGACGAGGTTGTTTTTGAGAAGTAGCCTCATTACTTGTTAAGCACCAAGCAGTTCTGTTCTCAGGTACCTTTAATGGTTCTTAATGGCATTGGAGCCACAGCTATTTATCTTTTATCTGTTGTTTTTATTTTGGTCATAACTTCTGGCTTTATTGGTTTCTGTTTACAGGTTTATTTGCTGCTTTTATGGTTATTTGTGTCATTGCTTATTTTCTTATGTTTTTACTGTAAACTCCTTAAGACCACTTTGTGACAGGTAGGGTAAACACACACATAAATTAAATGTGCAGGGGTACCACATTGCAAATAAAATCTAGATTCTAAAGTATGTCAAACCCCATTCTATTACACACACACACAGAAATAATAATCAGGGAATCTGTATTGTAGCAGTGGGAGGGATTGGTTCTCACTTGCAGTCCACACCAAAGTAAGTACCAACTATGGTCACAGACATGAGGCATCCACTAAAGAGAGCCCAACGTTTTGTAATTAAAAGTTTATTCCTAAGACACTGGACTTACTTTTTACACAACTTGCTCCTCATAACCCTCTTAATTTTATAATGGACAAATAGGTCCTATTTTTCTCGTGTAAAACGTTATGTGCTTTTTTACACAAGCGAGCGGAAAACAGTGTCGGTTCCCTTGAGCATTTGTCGAAAGAACACTTGATACCGCTCACAGATCAGGTTCCTGAAGGCATTCAAGAGTGAAGAACATGAAAGGAAAACAGTGAACAGTTTGAAATTAAGAAACAAGTCATTTTACGAAAAATAAAAGCCAGTTTAATTATAGCTGGGGTGGGGATTGATAAAAGTTAAAAAACGTAATTCTTAACAACATACCTATGTTCTATTTTACTTAAGACTAAAAGAATGCCTTTAGATTGTCAATATTATTCTTGCTATTAAAAATTTTTACTCTGTTCTTCTGCCCATAGAACACCCAGCAGTTAAGATGAAGAGAAGTACAATATATTTATAAGCAAATAAAATAAACACAGTTACAAAAAGGGAATGAAGAAAAAGCAACTTAGAACAACGTAATCTGAAAAAGCAGTAATCATGTTAAAAATAATTTTTGAAAAGCAATTGAATTATACAGTGGTGCCCGGCAAGACGAATGCCTCGCAAGACGAAAAAACTCGCTAGACGAAAGGGTTTTCCGTTTTTTGAGCTGCTTCGCAAGACGAATTTCCCTATGGGCTTGCTTCGCAAGACAAAAACGTCTAGCAAGTTTGTTTCATATTTCTTAACAAAGTTAATACAGTAGCGACTTGACTTCGAGGAGCAACTCATAGAACGCAGAGTACATAGTAGCCTTTTTGAAGTTTTTAAAGACTTTGGTGATTTTTGAAGCTTTTCCAAAACTTCTTTTGCAGCCATTTGGTAAGTTAAGCTTTTAAAACTTTTTGGGGGGGTTTTGGATTTTGGGTTGGGGTGTTTGGAATTCAAGGACTTGGTGTTGGGGAGGGGTTTACAAGAATCTGGAAGCTTGTGTGTTTTTTTCCTGCATTTTTATGATTTTCTGTGACCATTGGGGCACTCTGCTGTTTTTTAAAAAAAAATCTGGATTTGAATTTCTGTGTGCTGGGTGGCTGGCGGAACAGTTGGGGAGGGGTTTGCAAGAATCTGGAAGCTTGTGTGTTTTTTTCTGCATTTTTATGATTTTCTGTGACCATTGGGGCACTCTGCTGCTTTTAAAAAAAATTTCTGGATTTGAATTTCTGTGTGCTGGGTGGCTGGGGGAACAGTTGGGGAGGGGTTTGCAAGAATCTGGAAGCTTGTGTGTTTTTTTCTGCATTTTTATGATTTTCTGTGACCATTGGGCAACTCTGCTGTTTTTAAAAAAAATTCTGGGTTTGAATTTTGAAATGCTCTTTACAGTATGTGTGACTTTAAAGAGCACTTAATAAACTCTTGTTGTACCAAATTTGGCTTTGTTTGGACTTTTTTTGACCATAGGAACGCATTAATTGATTTTCAATGCATTCCTATGGGATTTCGTGCTTCGCAAGACGAAAAATTCGCTAGACGAAAAAATTTGCGGAACGGATTAATTTCGTCTTGCGAGGCACCACTGTACATTACTGCCATGTAAAAGTGGTTTCTATTTGTGTCTGAATGGACCAAAAGAGGGAGCCAGAGAGATCGCCCCTGAAGGTGAGCCATAGCACTGGCACCATCACTAAAACAGCAGTATCTCTTATGCTCACTCATTTAACAGCCCAAAATGGTGGTAAGGACTCCAAGGAAGTTCTTAAAGCCTGGGCAGGTCTGCATGGCAGATCAAGACCATTTAAAGACTTTCCAAAAACAAAGGGAACCAATCAAGCTGAAAAAAGATTGGAGTTAAACATGCCGATGATTAGCCAACACTCAAGAGTCCAGCTACCACATTTTGGACTAACATTTTAAATACATTTTCAGTATGTCAGAATTTCAAAAGACAGCCCCCATATACAGAACAGCGCAGTCATCTGGTCTGGAAATAACTGAAGTATGTATGCCAGGTTCATTTTCTCTAAGAGAACCAATTCTGAGACAAGCTTTGCAGAATTTTGTTTATGGGCATCTTTGATATCATGATGACAGATGCAATGTGTCACTAACACAATCACACAAGTCAAGAAGCGAGATGATGTTGAAAAGCAAGAAAACACCAAAAATATAGTTGTCAAACATTGGTTTAAATAAGAGGCTCTTTTCAAGAAATGTGAAAAATGGTGCAGAGATCATAATTTTTTGTGCACGTGAAAAGCCTAGTATGGAAAATAGAAGAGTAGCAATTTAAAGATTGAAAGACACAGGGCAATCTAGGCCACAGCACACACCATTTTTAACAAAGGGGGGGGAGCAGTAAAAATACAAATCACAATACAATCACTAATGGTCAGTAATAAATGGGAAGAAAGCCCAATATTGAGGATGGGGGAGAGGGAGATAGCACCTCCAGGTGAACAGAAATACCTTTGAGGCCAATGCACTTCAGTAAACCTAAAACCACAGCATGTTTGTCTCTTAGCCTTCCTGATTAAGAGAGCTCTTAAGAATCATGCAGAAGATGCCTATAAAACAATCACACACTCCCATGCTAACTAATTAATTAATTTTATAATGAATGATTTTAGAGTGTTGTTTATGCTGTACTTTTGTACTGTTTTATTGTTGTTAGCCGCCCTTGAGCCCGGCTTCGGCTGGGGAGGGCGGGATATAAATAAAAATTTTTTTTTTTATTATTATTATTATTATTATTATTATTACTACTACTACTACTCCATGCACCATAAAGAAACAGAGGCCGATGAAACACATCTGGGGGAAGTTAAAGTTGTTTGGATGTATGGCAAGGGAACTGAATCTTTAGCTCCATGATTCCAAATGAGCAGTACACTAACACTGCCACCTCTGTGAAAACACCAGCACGAGAAAGAGATCACAAAACAGCAAGAGAGTAAAAAGAGGGAAAGTGGCAAGACCACTACAATTAGGTCAGTTTCCAGAGAGTCAGTCTCTTCTTTGAACAGTCAACTCCAAAAGCCCCCTTTAAAACAAGCGTCCCATCAAGTCACTGGTTCCATTGTTTTAAACTTAACACAGCTGTTCAAGGAGGTCATGCTAACACAGGAGAGTTTGTCCTTACATGTAACCAGAGCCAGTTCCATTAAGGACTTTCAAGACATAGGCTGATACCCTGGATTTGCCCTGGTATTCGACAGGGAAGCTAGTAAATCAGTGCAATAACATGTTCTCTACAGCCGCAGCTTAGTAGCTGTTTTCCAAATCAATTCCATCTGTAAAAACAATTACTATAATCTATGCATCACGACCGAAGGGTTTTTTATCTGACTTTTGGAACATAGGCTGAAGACCAAAAGGTTCTAAGGCTGCAATCCTATACCCACTTACCTGGAAATAAACCCCATTGACCACACAATGAGACTTGTTTCCCAAGCAGACATACAAAATTGCACTCTAAGAGCTGGAAGTGGTTGGACAGACACAGCTGCCATTAGCATAGAACTAGGGAAGATCCGGGTTCAAATCCCAACTCACCCATTAACCTATTTGGGTGCCTTTGGGCCAGTTTCTTTCTCAGCTTAAGTTAGGGTTGTAGGGAGAATAAAATGGGAAAACTGGACATAAATGGAGTAGAAATGTGTACATATATTTCTTTTGTCCTACTGTTATCTATGAGCAAACAATTTGTAAAAACACAACCCAAACCTAACATGCTATTTGCTGTAGGCAATGGACAGTCAAGTATATACAGTATGGGCAATACTGCCATGACAACAAAATCATCTTCACAACTCTAAAAAAGCACCTTACTGTGACAATATATATACAAGAGAAAGGACAAGGTCTGTCTCAGCTGTTTCTGTTTAAGTGCAGTTTTCTACATCTTATGTACAGTACAACTGCTCTAGGGGCCAGTTCACATATTAAAATCTTCTCTGCCATATCAATTTGTGTACATTGGTACATCAATGTGTAAAGGGAAGTATAACCCCTGATACGTAAAGGTAGCAGCTGCTATCTCTGTGATAGCAGAGGCTGGAAAAAAGTTCAGAGTTACGAGCCAACATGATGCAGGTGGTAAGTCCACCCTCTGATATGACAAGTGGCTAGCCAGGGTTTCCTTTGAAATGTAGTGATGAAAAGTCGTAAACACCACACTTGTAAGACAAGTGAGTAGTAAATGAGGATCCCCATTACACACACTGTCCTCACCATCTGGTAATCATTTACCACCTAATATCTAGGCAACACAATTCAAAAGAAATATGCTCCCTCCTACGAAAGAGTTGAATGCACCAAATTTAAAATTTAACCTGTTCTGCAGATGTACCCACAAATTTAGTTATGTAATTCTTCACTGTCAGTTTTCCAGGCACCAAAATGTTAGTGGCGATGCTAATATTTGCATAATGCATTTTACAGAAAGAGAAGGTTGTATCAGTGACTTCATTAAAACCCCAAAGCCATCTGCTATGCAGGCACATAGGAATGGTGCAATTTGACCATGGCCAGTGTTCAAAACTCCCATTGTTCCAGGCGCATTTTGCAACAGGGAATTTCATTAGCGCGAGCAGTTTCTGAGCTCTGGGAGCAGTACTGCACCCTAAGATTTCAGATTAAAACTGCAGAGTGGAAGGAAAGGAGGACCTTTTCCTGCCTCCCCACTTCCAGCTACTCTCTGAAGGCTGGAGAAGAGATCATCTTAAGAATATTAAAGGGGTGGGGCAGGGGAAGGACTAGGCCATGTGAAAAATGAACACAATGTTTTAGCTACAGTTCATTCATTTTCAGCTTTGTATTCTTGTTATTAAAAAAATTGCACCTTGACATTCTGTTGTTGCGCCCATAACCTAGGCTTAAGGTGCCATTTAGCTCCTAGCTTTCATATCTCAGTTTCTAACACTGACCATGACTCATCTCATGCCTTCCAGTAGCAAAATGTGGGACCGAAGACCAACTAGTACAGCAACGTGAAGGGGTCACCCAGAAAGAAGCAAGAAAATGAAAACAGATTACTGTACAGGTAGGTGCCTACCACTTGTGGCTTTACAGTCTAGGAACTCATGGCAAGAAACTGATGAGAGAAGAACCATTAACTTCAGAAGCATTTTCCCTTCTGCCTTGCCTTGGAAGATCTTGAAGTGTTAGAAAGTTTTCCCCTTTGCAGCTTGAAGGGTCCTTTCAGGTGTTTAATTCACACTGAAAAGCACTTCCACCAATCCAAAGTACACCCCCTTCAAGCTAATAAGTCTATTTAACAAGAGGGAATCAATAGTTCCACTCCATTCTGCCTTGGTCAGACCCCATGGCGAGTATTGTGTCCAGTTCTGGACATCACAGTTTCAAGAGGATGCTGACAAGTGAGAACGTCTGCAGAGGAGGCTGATGAATGAAGGATAGAAATGATAGAAGGATCTGGAAACCAAGGCTTATTAGGAACAGTTGAAGGAGTTATGTAAGTTTGCTGTACAGGAGAGAAGACTCAGAGGTGATATGATAGCCATCTTCAAATATCTGAAGGGCTGCCACATGGAAGATGGAGCAAGCTTTGTTTTTTGCTGGTCCAGAGGGTAGGACCCGAACCAATGGATTCAAATTAGAAGAAAGGCAATTCCGCCTAAACATTAGGAAGAACTTTCTGATGCTAAGAGCTGTTCAACAATGGAATGGACTCCTTTGTGCTCTCCTTCACTGGAAGTTTTTAAACAAAAGTTGGATGGTCATCTGTCAGGCATTGTTTAGCTGTGGTTCCTGAATTGCAGGGGGTTGGACTAGATGACCCATGAGATCCCTTCCAACCCTACAATTCTGTGATTTCAAAGTTTGACATTTTGTAATACACATGCTCAAGTAAAGAATACTTCGGCTGCATTGTTCTGAAGTTCCTATCAGTATTCAACATATTCCCGGGTAAGAAAGAAATTGAAGTGGCTGAGCGAACTTCCTCTGTAAATGGTTCATCATAGCAACTGGAAATGGCTGCAGTGCCAAGCAAAGGAAACACAAACAGGGAGACAATCTGTTCTTAGCTTCACAGTGTTTCCTCTATACTGGTGAAAGGGAGATGGCAGCATCTTGACTGATATATAAAGGTTTTTTTGTTTTTAGTGGGTGACTAGAAGAATTTGTCAAGGCAACGTGAACAGAGTTAGCAGGGGAGGAAACCGGCTGCAGGAAGATCAAGGGCAAACTGCAAGCTTTAAAGACTACATGCATACAGCAAGAGGAATACCACAAAACCCAAAAGGTTTATCCTTTTGTTCCATCTGATTGTAACTATACCATTCCTACCATCCCAAATAAGTTCCACCTACAGCCTAGATACTGATCCCCCTCTTCTCTTGCCAGAAAGTTTCCCTGCTACCTTCAAAGTTAACACACCCATACAGCTTTCAAACAAAATACTGTGGTTTAGACCACTACTATTACATATAAAAGGATATGTAGTCTGATGACATTAAATAGAACTACAGCTATTCTCAAAATTTCATACATGGTTCTCCCTCTGTAATGAATAGGACAGTTTGGTTCAGGGGTCACCAAACTGTAGCTCCTAAACTTCATGCACCTCTTTGACACTTCCAGCTGCAGCTCTTGAGATGCATTTTATAATTTCCTGTATCCTCCCCAAGACACCGATGGAACGGCAATCCCTGCTCTCTGCAATCACTTCGGTAGCAGATGCCATTCAGGACAAAGGAGTATCTGCCATGCGTAAGAGAGAAGTAATTGGAGGCACGGTCAGCAAATCAGAAGACAGAAGGGGGCAGAGAAGCATGAGAAAGGAGACAATAAGAAACTATGTCAGATGATGGAAAAGAGAAGGCAGAGTTGCTGGCTATTGAAGAGGTGTGTAGAGTATGAAGAAGAGAGACAAGCAATGGACACAAATAAGTCTGGGCTAGAGAGAAAACAAAGGAGGTTTACTAGGCCTAAAGAATGGTAAGAAATCAACCAGTGTTGCCCTTGGCCCCTTTGCAGAAGTAAGGTTCAAGCAATTATGATTATTATTAATAATAATAATAATAATATACCATCCTATACCCGGGGGCCTCAGAGCGGGTCACAGAATAAAATCAAAATATAAAACCACAAAATACATAGTAAAAATTAAAATTAAAATAACAACCCAATAGCTCCCCCCCCCAACAAAAACACATTTTAAAAGGGCATAGGATGTAAATCAGATCCACCAAAGGCCTCGTTAAAAAGGAACATTTTTGCCTGGCTCCTAAAGGTGTATATTGAAGGTGCCAGGTGAAATTCCCTGGGGAGAGCATTCCACAGATGGGGAGCCACTGCAGAGAGGGGCCATTCTCATGTTGCCACCCTCCGCACCTCTCAAGGAGGAGGCACTCGAAGGAGGGCCTCAGAAGGTGATCTCAGGGTCCAGGTAGGTTCCTATAGAAAGAGGTGGTCCTCTTTCCCCACTGCCACTTTCCCTTCCAGTTATTCTCTACAGGCTTTGCCTAGAAGAAGGGTCGATCAATCTGCCTACTATCTGACTTTTAGAAGACATCCGAAGGCAGTCATGTATAGGAAAGCTTGATGTTTTATAATCTGTTGGAAGCCACCCAGAGTGGCTGGGGCAACCCAGTCAGATGGGCGGATTATAAATAACACTATTATTATTATTATTATTATTATTATTATTATTATTATTACTACTACTACTGCTGCAAGTCAGAAACTGTCCAGCAGTGCACATTTGCAGTGTTCAAAAAGGATATTGTGCAATACATTTGTGAGGCAATGATAGACATCTCGCCATCTTGCAATAAACCCTTTCTAATCAGATGCTGGAGTTTGCTGTGGCATCTGATTTATATTCTGTGCATGCATGAAAGCATAACATAATCAAGTCATAAGAAATGCAAATACGGAGAAAATTGAAATTTTAAGCCAAAATGGGAGGAAGATTTTACATGCACCATTAAAGGAGACAAACCTCTTGGCTTTAACTGCAATGAATCAGTCACTCCAAACTTTAAAGTAAGCAGCTTGAAATGCCACTCCTAAACAAATCAAGAGACATTTCATTTGAATACATACACAGCCCGCATTAGAATTAAGGAAAACATATTGCTTTCAGCATTCGCTAAATCAGTCTTTCCCAAAGTGGTGCCCTCTACAAGTTTTGGACTACAAAACTCGTCAGACCCAGGCAGCATGGCCAAGCGTCCGTGATGATGGGAGTTGCAGTCCAAAGCATCTGGAGGGCACCAGGTTGGGAAAGGCTAAATTAGAATTACACACAACTAACTACTAAAGACAGGACAGGGTGGCGCTGTGGTCTAAACCACAGAGCCTAGGGTTCGCCAATCAAAAGGTCACCGGTTCGAATCCCCACGATGGGGTGAGCTCCCGTTGCTCGGTCCCTGCTCCTGCCAACCTAGCAGTTCGAAAGCACGTCAAAGTGCAAGTAGATAAATAGGTACTGCTCCACCGGGAAGGTAAACGGTGTTTCCGTGCGCTGCTCTGGTTCACCAGAAGCGGCTTAGTCATGCTCACCACATGACCCGGAAGCTGTCTGCGGACAAACGCCGACTCCCTTGGCCTGTAAAGCGAGATGAGCACCACAACCCCAGAGTCGTCCGTGACTGGACTTAACAGTCAGGGGTCCCTTTACTTTTACCTAACTATTAAATCAGAAGGTCGGCGGTTCGAATTCCCACAACATGGTAAGCACCCGTTGCTCGGTCTCTGCTCCTGCCAACCTAGCAGTTCGAAAGCACGTCAAAGTGCAAGTAGATAAATAGGTACCGCTCCGGCGGGAAGGTAAACGGTGTTTCCGTGCGCTACTCTGGTTCGCCAGAAGCTGTTTAGTCATGCTGGCCACATGACCCAGAAGCTGTACGCCTGCTCCCTCGGCCAGTAAAGCGAGATGAGCGCCACAACCCCAGAGTCGTCCGCGACTGGACCTAATGGTCAGGGGTCCCTTTATCTTTAACTACTAAAGACAGAATCCAATGTTGCCTGCACACTCAAAATCTGCTCCAGAGTATCCCCCAACTCTCCAGAGCAGATTTTGAGGGTGCACAGGAGGTTGCAGGAGTGGGGAAAGGAAGATGAAGTCTCACTATGTGATCTTAAGTCTGTTTCACTTCCACACAGACAGCACTGGACACAACTCTAAGACTGGCTTGCTGGAGAAGCTTGAGAAAACTGGAAAATGAAACTTCTATGTAAACCCTACCATAATTCACACACTAAGTCTTCAGTTGTTCATGTTCACACACTGCCCACTGTGAATAAAACAGACCTCTTGTACGTGGGTGCAATTCACAGGCAAACAGGGGGTTCCTATTCAGGAAGGCATTAGAGCAACGGGGAAACCTGTGGCCCTCAAAATGTTGTTCAATTACAGCTCTCATCAGCCGTTAACATTGGCCAGGCAGAATTGGGCTGATGCGAGTTCAAATCCAACATAATCTGGAGAGCCACAGGTTCCTATCTCCGCTTTAAAGTTTGTTAGGTCATCTGCAACAGTCATTAAAAGAAACATACAAGCCCAGAGCTTTCTCCTGTGTTTTGGAGTCCTGTTGGACCTAAACGACGTAAGTTTCTATTAGCACTTTACCAAATACAGAAATTGGTACTTTATACATGTCTTTGCGGGACGACAAAAACTGCTGTGCTTGCTAAATACTGCCACCCTTCAGGTACCTTCCACATTGCAAATATACCACTACAGATACGTCCCTCCCTTTTGATATGTATCATCTTCCTTTTACACCTTCTCAATTCTATTTTTATCACAGCAGATTAAAAATGCAGCTATCAGCCACTGAGTTTTTTCAGTAGAGTCTCCCACACACACAAAAATGGATAGTTCATAGCAAAGCATGTGACAAATACTCCTGACAAAACTAGCAAGCATGTGGTAGGTTCAACCACTGAACCAAGTTTCCTGCAATTTTGAAACAAGGAGGTAGAAAAGGTGGCCCCTGAGATGTTGCTGCACAACCACTGTCATCATTCCTAATCAATGGCCCATACCAGAAGAGGCTGATGGGAGCCGGAGTCCAACAGAATTTATTAACATTTAGGGAACTCTCCGACTGTAATCCTGTACTCACTGACCTAGGAGGAAGTCACTTTGAACTCAATGAAACTAGAGCAAGAGAAGTGTTGTGAACAGCCCTTAGATCTACAGGTGTAGGGAAGTATAGAAATTTACTAAATAATAAATAATAATAAATGAATGTGGTTTGCCTTTACAAATAAACACACAAACCAGAACAAAACTCTCCTCTATGTGTCCTAAATTTTGAGATGTAGTTCTGCATGTCAGCATGCATTGAATTGTACTGTCAAAGACACCTCAGAGTTTATCTGCTTTGTCTTAATCACCTTATTTCTTATAGCATTTAATGGTCTAGTCTACATGCTCATCATTAAAGCACCTTTAACGTAAACAGTGATACAAGCATCCTGTCGGTCATCTGATTATCAGCATCTGATCAGAGATTCTGCAATTAAAAACCAATTACAGTAAATTACAGATTCTTATTTTTAAGAACTAATTTATCGCTTTGTGCTTTTGTCAATTGGATATTGTGTTTTATACATTTTGGTACATATTTACAAGGGGAGAAACAATATAACTGGGCAGCATATTGAACACAGGAGGAAAGAAAGATGGGAAAATCAGAAGATAAAGTCAAGCCTTCATAACTGGTCAATGGCGTAAAATATCAGTAAGAAAAAATATTGAGAAGGAACATGAGCTGATCAGTACTATCTGAAAACAGATTTTTTTTTTTGCAAGGCTTTCCCATAAAGCAACAGCTACTATATATGAACTTTTAAAAATGGAAAACCTAGAAATATTACCTCAAAGTAACTCCCACTGAACACAGTAGAGCTCCAAGTACTAATAATTTAAACCTCAGAATTTCAGTTAAAGTTCGAAAATCCTCAATTTATACTTACCAAGAACTCCTAAAGCAAAAATACCATCTAAATTATTCTGAACAAGGCATTACTAATTGACGGCAAGCTCAGACATTTAAGTAGTGTTTTGTTTAGTGATTTCATAATTTACTGTGCAGTAACATTTACTACATATGTGCAAAACAAGCACAAGCCTTGAAAAACTCTTGAACTCAAAATCACAGGACTTAATCAGCTACCACACAATGTTACAGAAATGAAGATTTACCAACTACAGTACAAAATGACTTTGTTTGTTTTTTTAATGCTGTAACTGCTCTCTTACTGAAGAAAGATTTAAGAAAATGAAACGTAAGACATTGGCATCTAAATTCCTTTTTATAATCCAGAACACATGCCTTGATCTTTTGACTCTCTCCCAAAAGTATTCATTAGTAAGTTGCAGTCTGACCAGAAATTGTTTTCCCTTCCTAGACTATTTCTTAAGTTCCTACCAAAGGAGAGAAATAAATAATAAGTAAAATGATTTTAAAAATTTGGATCAGTTTTGATTCACATTTGAGTATATAGCTTTTCAAGTCTCAATGAATTTTTATTCTGATAGAATAGAAAGGTAGCAATATTTCAGGAATACAAAGAGCAAGCTTGCTATTTACATCATGGGCTTTATACAAAGCTTGAAAACATCTGCATTGCTGGAATAGGTTATCTTAGGGTTACCAGACCTCCCCGGTTCCCGGGGACAGTACCCGGATTTGCAAATCTGTCCCCGGTCAAATTCCGTCCCTGGAATGTCCCCAGATTTGCAAATCTGTCCCCGGGAAATGTGGCAGTGGCAGCCTCAGAAGCCCGGAGCCAGCCTGGTAGCGCAGTTGGCTCTGGCTGGCTTCAGGAGCTGCTCGCTGCTTGCTGCCGCCGCCACTGCCAAAGGGAAACCAGGGACGTCCGGCAGTACAGATCTCCTTCCCCCTTTGTTGTGACAGATCGGGGGAGGCTCAGGAGTTGCGGGTGGGCAGCCATTACTCAGGAGGGGCGCAAGGTGAGCAGTTTCTCTGTCAGGCAAGGTGCAAAGCCCTTCAGTCAAAAAGCGGGCAGATCGGGGGAGGCTTGGGAGTCACAGGTGGGTGGCACGCAGTTGCCCAGTTTTTAAAAAACTCTGCACATTTATGTTTCACAGGGTGCGAAAGAAGGGCTTTGCACCTTGCCCAGCAGAGAAACCACGAACCCTGCGCCCCTCGTGGGCAGCGGCACACCGCCTGCCCATGACTCGCGAGTCTTCCCTCGATCGCCTGTCCCCTTCCCCCTGTTTTGACAGATCGGAGGAGGCTTGGGAGGTGCGGGTGGGCGGCGCGCCGTTGCCCTGTTTTTCAAAAACTCTGCACATTTTTGTTTCACAGGGTGCGAAAGAAGGGCTTTGCCCATTTATACAATATGCATTGTGCTTGGGCCCAGGGTCTTTTGCCTCACCATCCCCACTACTGACTCCCTGTTGCTACTCAGCTTCCAAAAAAAAATGTGTCCCCGGATTCATTGCAAAAAATCTGGTAACCATAGGTTATCTGCAAAGCTAAGTTACACTTAGAAATAGACAGACTTGCCTTAGCAAATATTATACATCTTCCAATTTGCTTATTTTGAAAGATCTCAGATCTTTTTTCCAAGCAAGTACAAGAATCCCTAAAATTACTCAAACTCTCAGCCTTGAAATTACAAACTAGAATTCAAGTGCTTCTAAAGCTCATATGGGGATCTTTAATGAGCTCCTGGTGTTTTCACTACATCTTTAGTTACATCGCATTTAATCAAACATTCAGTATATGCAGGGGAAGTGTTTGAAATATTTGATCTTTTTTGAGATTATTAACTAAAGAATGATTCTTAAATTGAGGTTCATGATTTACTTTCTAGGAAGTCCTCAATACTATGATGGAAATAAGGGGGAGGGGAATATTGAAGAGCCATATTATTACTGAAGTTGCTTACTTCTTTAGCATGTAGCAGGGAGAGGCTCACTGTTCCCCAAAGTGCAACAGAATATAGAAGTATATAAATTCCTTACAATGCACCAGCAAAAAGAGTTACACTCCTGTGTTGCAACATTATGAAGTTTAACAAACTTGTACGACTAAGCTTTGCAGAAAGGGTGGTGGCTCAGCAACTTCGGGCATGCTTGCAGGAACTGGATTACCTGGACCCATTTCAATCTGTTTCAGTTTTTTTCTCCCAAAGGGTAAAGGCAGGTACAAGGTCAGAGAAAAGGTTACACAAGTGTTTTCATGGTTCTTTGACCATGGGCTGTGTCTTTGGACGTATTCTTCTTGGTTCTTTGAACCAGGTAGTTGTTTCAAGTTGTCAGTGTCGGGAATTTTGACCTGCGACTGTGTGGACTGTGATTTGCTGAAGCTGTCAATCTATTAACGGACTAGTTGTCTAGGTGGAAGATTCTTTAGTGTGGAGGTTTAGTGTGGAGGTATATGAAAGGTTAAACCACAGAGCCTAGGACTTGCCAATCAGAAGGTCGGCAGTTCAAATCCCCGTGATGGGGTGGGCTCCCGTTGCTCGGTCCCTGCTCCTGCCAACCTAGCAATTCGAAAGCACGTCAAAGTGCAAGTAGATAAATAGGTACCGCTCTGGCAGGAAGGTAAACAGCATTTCCGTGCGCTGCTCTGGTTCGCCAGAAACGGCTTAGTCATGCTGGCCACATGACCCGGAAGCTGTACGCCAGCTCCCTCGGCCAATAAAGCAAGATGAGCAACGCAACCCCAGAGTCGGTTATGACTGGACCTAATGGTCAGGGGTCCCTTTACCTTTACCTATATGAAAGGTGAGGTTATAAAGTGTGAAGTTTGTTCAAATGCTCTGGTAAAGAGGTGTTCTGTTGAGTACTCTGTTAGAGGGGTTTGCTAAAGTGAGGTTTTCAAGTCTTGGTTTATATATTTGAGTGGAGTTTATATACTGCTAATGAGATATAAGATAAGGTAAGGCTTATAATAAGATAGATGTTTTGATGAATTAGGTTTGTTTTTCCTTAACTTTGTCAGGTTCCACAGGTAGTGTTTTGTTTTATGATGCATGGGGATACATTTAGTTTAAGAAGGTTGAATTGGTTTTTTCTAGGACCTGGATTACAGGCTGGATAATCTGTGAGGAAGGGGAAGGTTCAATCTGGCTTCTTGGCACTGAAACAGTTTTCATTGCCCTGGATGATAACCTTTATTTGAAAAGAGACACAAGTTGTGTGTGAAACCATTGATTCTCCTTGATCTATCAGCAGCTTTTAAGACCATCAACAATGCAATCCTCCTCAAGTACAGTGGTGCCCCGCAAGACGAATGCCTCGCAAGACGGAAAACCCGCTAGACGAAAGGGTTTTCCGTTTTTGAGTTGCTTCGCAGGACGAATTCTCCTATGGGCTTGCTTCGCAAGACGAAAATGTCTTGCGAGTCTAGAGATTTTTTTTCCGCTTCCCCACCCCCCCTTGATCTAATCTGCTAAGCCTTTAATAGCCAGTAAGAGCCGTTTAGCAGCTAATCCCATACCCCAATAACCCTTGAATCGCCGCTAAACCGCTAATAGCGCTAATCCGTTAAGCCGCTAATAGGGTTGCTTCGCAAGACGAAAAAACCGCTAGACGAAGACTCTCGCGGAACGGATTAATTTCGTCTTGCGAGGCACCACTGTACCGTATTGGCCCAAATATAAGCCACACCCGAGTATAAGCTGCACCTATAAAATTGGACCGGGGGGGAGAAAAAAAAGAAAAAATATCCAAATATAAACTGCTCCATTCCTTGCTGCTCCTGGCTGCATACGGGGGGGGGGGGGCTTCTTGGCTGCATACCGTAAGGTCGCGAATATAAGCCACACTTTAACTTTTCACGGTCGGAATTTGGGGGGAAAGTGAGGCTTATATTCAGGCCAATACGGGTTGGGAATTGAAAGCATAATGATACTGCGATTCCTCTCCTACCTGCAGGGTCATAGAATGATAGAATCATAGAGTCATAGAATCATAGAGTTGGAAGAGACCACAAGGGCCATCGAGTCCAACCCCCTGCCAAGCAGGAAACACCATCAGAGCACTCCTGACATATGGTTGTCAAGCCTCTGCTTAAAGACCTCCAAAGATGGAGACTCCACCACACTCATTGGCAGCAAATTCCACTGTCAAACAGCTCTTACTGTCAGGAAGTTCTTCCTAATGTTTAGGTGGAATCTTCTTTCTTGTAGTTTGGATCCATTGCTCCGTGTCCGCTTCTCCCTCCTCTATGTGACATCCTTTTATATATTTGAACATGGCTATCATATCACCCCTTAACCTCCTCTTCTCCAGGCTAAACATGCCCAGCTCCCTTAGCCGTTCCTCATAAGGCATCGTTTCCAGGCCTTTGACCATTTTGGTTGCCCTTCTCTGGACACATTCCAGTTTGTCAGTGTCCTTCTTGAACTGTGGTGCCCGGAACTGGACACAGTACTCCAGGTGAGGTCTGACCAGAGCAGAATACAGTGGCACTATTACTTCCCTTGATCTAGATGCTATACTCCTATTGATGCAGCCCAGAATTGCATTGGCTTTAGCTGCCGCGTCACACTGTTGGCTCATGTCAAGCTTGTGGTCAACCAAGACTCCTAGATCCTTTTCACATGTACTGCTCTCAAGCCAGGTGTCACCCATCTTGTATTTGTGCCTCTCATTTTTTTGCCCAAGTGCAATACTTTACATTTCTCCCTGTTAAAATTCATCTTGTTTGTTTTGGCCCAGTTCTCTAATCTGTCAAGGTCGTTTTGAAGTGTGATCCTGTCCTCTGGGGTGTTAGCCACCCCTCCCAGTTTGAGTCCATCATCCAAGTCGTTGATAAAGATGTTGAATAAGACCGGGCCCAAGACAGAACCCTGTGGCACCCCACTAGTCACTCTTCTCCAGGATGAAGAGGAACCATTGATGAGCACCCTTTGGGTTCGGTCAGTCAGCCAGTTACAAATCCACTGAGTGGTAGCATAGCCAAGACCGCATTTTACCAGCTTCTTTACAAGAATATCATGGGGCACCTTGTCAAATGCCTTGCTGAAATCAAGGTAGGCTACATGCACTGCGTTCCCTTCATCTACCAGGCTTGTAATTCTGTCAAAAAACAAGATCAGGTTAGTCTGACATGACTTATTTTTCAGAAATCCATGCTGACTATTGGTGATCACAGCATTCCTTTCTAGGTGCTCACAGACTGTTTGCTTAATGATCTGCTCCAGAATCTTCCCTGGTATTGATGTCAGACTGACTGGGCGGTAATTATTTGGGTCAAATAATTTACAGTCATAATTTGGTCATTTACAGTTATAATGACCCATAATTTGGGTCATTTACAGAGTAGCATTTCAGGACTACTGCTTGGTCCCTCATCTACTATGCTGTGGGGTTCGGCAGCAGTCCATCCTGTCTTCTATGCTGTTTAACAGCTCTATGAAACTGATGGGGGTAGTCATCTGGTAATGTGGAACATGGCGCCATCAATATGCAGGGGGAACCTAGTTTTCTCTCTCCCCAGTATGAATGAGGTGAAGCTCTCCAAATGCTGGACTGGTGTCTGGAGGCAGGCTGGATGAGGGTCAATAAACTAAAGCTGAATGCCAACAAGATGGGGGTGCAGCTAATGGATGGTTCTTGTGTCTGGGATTTGGAGGTATGGCCTATGCTAGATGAGGTTGCACTCCTCCTGAAGGAACAATTTTGTAGCTTGGGAGTACTCCTTGATTTTGCACTGTCACTCGAAGCCCAGGTGGCATCAGTGGCCACAGCTGCAGCTGTTCCTGGGCCAGGATAACTTAGTAACAGTTATCCATGCTTTGGTAAACTTACATTTAACATACTGCAATGTGCTTTATACTGGGCTACTTGTGAAGATAATCCTGAAGTTGCAACTGGTGCAGTATCAGGATTGTGAGTGGTACTTCTGTTTGGGGCCATGTAACACAAAAAACCCTTTGTGGTTCCCCACCCCCAATCAAGCAGTACATAATTTTTTTGAATTAATAAAATAGATAACGTACACGTACAAACTGCTTTGTCTGCCAATATGATACAACTCAATTCAAGATTTGTTGTTGCCATATAAAGTCCTGAACAACCTGCATTCCACGTACTTGAAGGGGTGCCTTTTCCATTATCTGCCAGACCATGCCTTAAGATCTGCTGGGAAGGCCTTCCTTGTGCAGTAGTACCTTGGAAGTCAAACAGAATCCGTTCCGGAAGTCCCTTCTACTTCCAAAACGTTCGGAAACCAAATGACGGCTTCTGGTTGTCTGTAGAAAGCTCCTGCAGGCAATCAGAAGCTGCAGAAGTCCTGTCGGACGTTCAGGTTCCAAAAGAACGGTCACAAACCGGAACAATCACTTCCATGCCAAAATGTCCGAATTCCATGGCATTTGGGATCCAAGGTACAACTGCACTCTCACAGCTAAGCATAGTATATAGTGTGGTGCCATCTCAGTTGTGGCATCCTGTTTGTGAAACTACTTCCCCCTGGCTGGCTCCCTCCTTATTGAATTTTAGGCAGGGATAAAGATATATTTTTTATTTTTAAAAAATGTAGTTTTAAAGTTTGTATTGATGTTGTTTTGCTACAGCTTATTATGATTTTGATTGCCAGACACTTTGAAAGGGCCTTGGTCCTAGAAAGCATCATAAAAATTCTGTAAATAAATGGCAGGTTGGGCTGGTCTTTAAGAAAAACAAAAATACTTGAAGAACTATGTGGCAGTTCTCACCAAGTTCATACTCACAGCAGAATCACTGAAATAGTTATGCAAGTCAAACATTTTCGATCAGTCTATGCTGCGTAACACTGAATATCAACCATAACAAAACATCTCCAGGATATTTCAACCAAGCCTCAATACCTGCCTCCTACTTATGGTCCCTTTCCATTTTCCTTGCATGTTTATTCTTGTAAATACAATACAACTGTTCCAGTGAGCAGAAGGTACTAAGTTTTAATTTGGAAACTTTTCAAGTCCCCTATTGTGTGATGGCCATAAAGTAAGAGGGTGTGGTATCTCAGAAGGAACTGGCAAACCACCAGACTATGTTCCTCAGTACAACAGCACTGAAAGAATTCTGGTCCACAGTGTTCAAAACATGATGAATTCCCAGGTACACCATCCCACTTTCCTGGTCCTTAGCCTTAAAAAGACGTCTACGCACCTTTTTCCAGACGAATCAGTGTTAGAAACTGACATATGAAAGAAAGGAGCTAAATTGTGCCTAGGTTATGGGTGCAACAACGGAATGTCTAGTTGTGCTTTTTTAACAACAAGAATACAAAGTTGAAAATGAACTGCAGCTAAAATATTATGTTCATTTTTCACATGGTCTAGTCCTTCCCCTGCCCCACCCCCCCTAATATTCTTAAGAAGGTCTCTTCTCCAGTCTTCAGAGAGTAGCTAGAAGTGGGGAGGCAGGAAAAGGTCCTCCTTTCCTTCCACTCTGTCGTTTTAATCTGAAATCTTAGGTACAGTACTGCGCCCAGAGATCAGAAACAGCTTGCACTGATGAAATTCCCTGTCGCAAAATGCGCCTAGAACAATGGGAGTTTCAAACACTGAAAGGAATGTGAAGAAACAAATATATTTATAATACACATGGCTAAAAAAAGTGACAGTACTCATAGCTCACCCCACTAAGTGCCTTAACTATGGCAGAGGATTCAAAGATTCCAGATCTATCTCTAGAACTGGGACTTCTGACTGAACACAGGTGATCAAGCTGAAACAGAAATATAACATCTTTTAAATGTCAATCACTATCCCACTGCAGAGACATCACCTTGCCGACAAAGGTCCGTATAGTTAAAGCTATGGTTTTCCCAGTAGTGATGTATGCAAGTGAGAGCTGGACCATAAAGAAGGCTGATCGCCAAAGAATTGATGCTTTTGAATTATGGTGCTGGAGGAGACTCTTGAGAGTCCCATGGACTGCAAGAAGATCAAACCTATCCATTCTGAAGGAAATCAGCCCTGAGTGTTCACTGAAAGGACAGATCTTTCAGCTGAGGCTCCAATACTTTGGCCACCTCATGAGAAGAGAAGACTCCCTGGAAAAGACCCTGATGTTGGGAAAGATGGAGGGCACAAGGAGAAGGGGACGACAGAGGACGAGATGGCTGGATAGTGCTCTCGAAGCTACCAGCATGAGTTTGACCAAACTGCGGGAGGCAGTGGAAGACAGGAGTGCCTGGCGTGCTCTGGTCCATGGAGTCACGAAGAGTCGGACACGACTAAACGACTAAACAACAACAACAACAACAACATCCCACTGCAGCCTTTCTCACAGGTGCTTCAGGTACAGAGAATTTCTGTGCAATAAACAGTGAAGGGGGGAGAGGCTACCTGTTGTTAACCCCTCAAAGAAAGTATAAAAATAAACAGAAGCTTGAAGGTGTATCTATTTACAATAGAACTATCATTACGGAGAGTCAGCCTTTGGCTGCATTTTACAGGTGGCCAGTCTGGCTAGTATTCTGTGCATGCTGCTAAACACCTTAGCTTCTTTAGCATTGCTCTACAGGAGGCTGTGCAAGACAAGGATGAAAGAAGCAGTAAGCCTAGCTGCACACAAGCTATCTTCAATAATAGGAGACTAACTTCTCTGCAATGTCTGCAAACATAAAGTGCTCCAGACGCATGACCTAATTGTGCCTGATCTATTGGCTAACTGCCAATACCAGCAAGTGCCTTCATTAAGGCCATCCTGGCAAGAAAAAAGTGGCTTCCCCAGCAAGAACTGCCTCCACTGGTAACATAAACAGTAATCATTTGTATCTCTGAAAATATCTTCCATCTCTATTTTGCACAGGAAAATCCATTGACACCTCACTATTTTGCCCTCAAGGCCAAGAACAGTTTAGACTTCAGATACCAGACTTCAGCCCAGGCCCCAGAGTGGTCCATCGTTTTCACTTTAGGATACCCATCTTGGTCTAGAATTCCCATCTCAACCTAATTTATGGTACAGAACTCTAGGGTGGCCTACAGTGGTCTAAACCACTGAGCCTCTTGGGCTTGCCAATCAGAAGGTCAACGGTTCGAATCTGCATGACAGGGTGAGCTCCCGTTGCTCTGTCCCAGCTCCTGCCAACCTAGCAGTTCGAAAGCATGCCAGTGCAAGTAGATAAATAGATACCGCTGTGATGGGACGGTAAACAGCATTTCCGTGCGCTCTGGTTTCCGTCACAGTGTCCCGTTGCGCCAGAAGCCGTTTAGTCATGCTGGTCACATGAACTAGGAAGCTGTCTTTGGGCAAACACCAGTTCCCTCGGCCTGAAAGCGAGATGAGCGCCGCACCCCATAGACACCTTTGACACCTTAACCGTCAAGGGGTCCTTTACCTTACATTACCTTTTAGATTCCACATCATTGCCACTCCATTGAAGAAACATTTCAGTAAATACTTACAAAGTGGAATTCAGAAGGTGCATGTAGCCACAATGCATACCTTCGTTTCCAAACCAATCCCTCTGTTCAAAAACCTGTGAAACTCAGGAAACCCACTCCTACTCTCTTTGGAACAGGTAACTATTGGTACCTCAACTCTTTTATTTCTCTCTTCTCCACTTCTCATATCTCAATGCCTTTTCTACCTTTGTGTGGTCCAAACACTTTCCATTTGCATCTGAGCTTCTCCTGGTACATCAGGGCCTTGAGTCTGATAGATCCGTAGTGCCACACCCTGCTCCTTACACAGCCACAGTAATATTACCTTCCTCTGTCTCCATCCCTATCCCAGAAACAGGCAAAGTGTCTGTTGTTGGTCCAGGCAGAATGGAGTTAGTGAAGCCCGATTATAATTTCTACGCCAACAAATTTACTATCTGTGTCATGCCCTTAAACACGACTGCTAGATATTTCACAGTCATTACATATCACAAGCTTGTAAATCATGAAGTTTTCTTTATGCATTTGTCTATATTAAAGGCAAGAGAAGACAGCTTGAAACAAGAGCTTGAAACAAAGCTTTGAAAAGCTAAATTTAAAAATGGATTCAAATGAATTCAAAGCAGCTCAGAGAAAGAATTCTTCTTCATGAGACACAGCAAAGAAGCAGCTTTTGAAATAAGCATGACAAATTAGCAAGATGCAAGTAGGTTTCCCATCCCAAACAATCACACCACTGTTGGCCTTCCTACCCTCTTTTTTAGGAAAACACAACAAAATATTAAAACATCCCACACCGCTTCTGGCGCAACAGGACACCGTGATGGAAACCAGAGAACACGGAAATGCCGTTTACCTTCCTGCCACAGCACTACCTATTTATCTACTTGCACTGGCGTGCTTGCAAACTACTAGGTTGGCAGGAGTTGGGACAGAGCAACTTCGTCATGGGGATTCGAACCGCCGACCTTCTGATCAGCAAGCCCAAGAGGCTCAGTGGTTTAGACCACAGTGCCATCCGCATCCCTATAATCACGTGTAACACCAACCAAACAAGACTCCTGGTAGTATTTAAGTGTGTTGCTGTGTGGTATAGAGAGGGTCATTATCCCACATACAATAAGGTCTCTAGCCAAATGCAAACTACCAAGGAAGGCAATGAGGGAGCTCAACTGAATCCGCAACTGGCTATCTTTGAAGCCAATCCAAATGACCACTCCACCCGATCCAATAGTCCACTCCTATTCAGTAATCTATTCAGTAAGCTGTGAGAGACCATATTCTATATCCAGAATATTAATTCTATAGTAATCAGATATATGAATAACGCCCCCAAAGACAAACAATGTGGGCATTTAATACATTCAGTAAGTCACCCTCCTACACATGTATGTTCCAGACAGCAGTGAAATATAACCAAGATGATTGGCAGTAAACTGGAAGTGCCTGCTTTAAAAACAACAACCATATTGTAACGTGCTGGTTTGCCCTCCTTTAATAGGTGTAGAAGCTCAGACATAACTTTGTTACTCAGCAAAGGTTTAACACATGGCACAACTGGAATGGAATCTTGGTTTATAAATCACTGCATTATCTATTTGCATGAGGCTTTCCCACAAAATTGTGCCCAATGTAACTGATAGAATATCAAATGAATAATAACAATTTTAAAAGATCAGAAATAATTAAAAGCAATCATAATATTAATAAGTAAAAGCCAAACCAAAAAAACCCAATCCATACAGTACTTTATTGAAATTATAAATATAAGCTAACTCAACTAAACAGTTTAAACTGAACAACATTGTATAAAACAATTAAAATTAACTAACCTAATTTAATGGCTTGCCTTTGATGAATACTTTTCAAAGGCGAGCAACACCCACATCTTTAGGCATTGACAGAGGCTCTTCAGTATAAATGCTACTCAAGAAGGGTTGCAGCTTTTCCGTGATGTTATGGGGAGGGTACATATTGAGAATTTTTTCTGCCTCTCATGTAATTCTAGCTCCTCCAAGGTTACCCAATGAAACTGAGTGGCAGACTGTAGATTCAGGGAGGACAACAGTGCATACTTCTTCACAAAACGTACAATTAATTTATGGACTTGAAAGCCACAGGATGTGCTGACGGGAGATTGGCTTAGATAGCTTTAAAAGAGGATTAGACTAATTGGGGACAGAGAGGGGAGATAGAGCTCTATTAGTCATGACGGCTAAATGGAACCTCCCATTCAGCATCCCACTGAAAACTATTTACGGGAGGAAAAACTATCAGGAAGGAGTATTTCCTTCATGCCTAGCCATGGGTTTCCCAGGGTCATCTGGCTGACTATTATAGACCAACCCTTGGACCAAAATTCAACAGTAATCCTCTTGCATTTTTAAAACTTTTGGTTTGTATGAACATGGCTCTTCTTCTATATATATTCTTTCAAATATGGCATATTTTGAAGTGCCAATTATATTTCCCTATTTGTTTGCATACAAACAAATATAGGAATGAGTTTTGGAAATACCAAAGAAAAAAGTTCCTTCTTGCAAAATACATAAAGAATAGTATGTATAGTAGGATGGAGTTTCCTTCTCTTCAGAAGAGATACTGCATTATCTTCTGACATGTAGCTGGGCCAAGAGGAACAGGGTGGCACCTAAAAGACGGAATGTCTATTGACAACACTGAACAGGAATGTTTCTGTTGTTGCAAGGATGCTTCTGTTATTGGGACCAGGTCACAATAACTACTGAACAAAGATATAAAACTATTGTTAAACAGAGCAAGAATTTCATTAGATAAATAAAACCAACCCTTTAGATGTAACTTTGGAAGAACAGCTTGCAGTGAGATAAATAAATTTGGAAAAGAGATCTTGTTAGCCAACGTTTTTGTTTGTACCACCTTACTGGAGCATTTCAGGTTACTACTAAGAGAAGACAGAATCAAAGATACTTGGAATTGCAACAATCAGACCACAAAGTCAAAAAATATGATATACTTTCATTGTTAATTACAAAACACCATAATCTCAAATATGCCTGTAAGCATGATCATTTGCTTTGAAATGTTTATTTTAAGCCCTTTTTTTACAAAACTAATACAAGTGTGGATAAGTTACTTACTTATCACTACAAGAAATAATAATGCTGACCCAGCAATTTAATAAGTGTTTCACCCATAAATTGATACAGAAGACAATTTCAGTCCATGGAGACATGTAGGCAGCATGCCTTATTTCTCTGAATTAAGCTGCACGGAAATCGATGGGATTTAAGTTCACGTTCAAAACAAGTTTTTTTAAAAAAACAGGGGTGCTACTTAGAACAAGAGCTACTGAAAAATGAAGATCCCTTCTGAATCCACAGTTTCTGTCAAATAAAATACCAGAAAACAAAATGGAACTTGAAATATGTAGCGATCATGTCTCCATGTGTGAACCCCTTCCAGCGTATGGATATGCCTGCATACTGGGAGGGATTTCACCCAAGCAAGCCAAAGGCCTCTGCTAAAACCAACCCTGCACGCTTTGCTGGGTGAGAGATCTTAACTTTATAGAACTGACACACCATGCAACTCATAGCACTGAATGAAGAGGTCCAAGCTTTAGTTGTCCGAAGCTGGTTGAACAGCTAAGTAAAAAAAATTCCTTCAAGAAAATTATTTCCCAACCTTATCACCCGTGCAATAGGTACATGAAATCAATAAATATTTTTGTTGATCTATAAGCCTGCAGCGATCAGAATTTCTAGCCCTGCTCAACAATTCATGTTAAGAATGAACAGCAGTTGATCCCTTCAGAAAGCATGCTGACAAAAGAACACCAAATATAAGCAGGAACAACATGACCTCAACAGCCAGAGCACTAGAATCAAATTGTGTCACAGAAAAAAAATTAACTCTCTGCCCCCCACAAAAAAAGTACTAAAAAGCAAAAGAAGAAATTAAACCCATCCTTCTCCAGGGAGCAAAGGCAATGAAAACTTAAAGTCTGCCACTATACACCAATATTTTCAACAATGATCAGAGCCACTTCACACATTACAGCAAATATAAGGTGCCCAACTTTGAGTTGACCATATCTCTTCTGCAACATCTGAAGCACTTTTGTGTAACTGAACACATGCAAAAAATAAGTTTTTAGGATTCTCAACCAATCATGTGGCTTCCAGGGGCATGACTGCAAGGGTTTTTCAGGGACATGTTGCATAAGAATGAATGAATTTACTTTATTACGGCCACAGACCAGCAGAAGCAAAACATCTAAATAAATAGCATAATAATATCTCTAAGCAGATAATTATTAAATTAATTGGGAACAAGAACCAAACGTAGATTAAAACATATACCTAGAATACTTGATTAAGCATAGGTAATGGATGAATAAAAACCAATAAGGAAAATTTAAAGGAGATCAATTAAAAAAGAACAGCTGTATGGGGTGGGGCTTCAGAAGTGCGGATCTAACAATATGGGCCTTCTATTTAGGACTGATTTGTAGCATAGACCATCCTTCGACGAATATCTATCATGGCAGGGCAAAATCTGGCAACTAAATATGTGACTTCTGGGCTATCGTCCTGTAGTAATAGGGAGATGTAGTGTTGTTCTGAACGCCCAGGGAACTTATATAGGATGGGCTGGATAAACCTAGCTTGAATGTCTATGTAATACTGGCAATGAAGAAGGGCATGCTCCGTTGTTTCCTGCTGCCCAGAGCCACATGGGAATTTCCTCTCCTCATATGGTATCTTCCTATAACTGCCTTCCTGAACTGCTGAAGGGAAGGCCTGACAACGCGTCAAGGCGAAAGCCCTTCGTTGTTTTGGTATTTCAAGATTAGCTATGTATGGCATTTGGGAAGTGGAGTATCTTCTAGTTTCGCTAATTAAAAATTGGGGGGACCTGGCCAAAGAAAGAAGACCACACGCTGTTTGATAATGGTTTTTGCTTGCTCGTTCCCCATGTTAAGTAAGAACTGTGGACTGAATCCTAGAGTTGTTATTATATTATCCACTGCTCGTTTCCATATCGATTGGAAATCGTCTTTTAATAGTCAAGGAAGCAAGACCGCTGGGAAGAGAGGCTAGTTTCAGCCAATAATTGCATAAGAGACATTACCAAAGATGGGTGTGTGGGAAGTAGCCCTCATTTAGCATTGTTTATCTAAAATCAACTCTTTGCATATAAAAAATGTGGTAACTTTTTGCAAACCTAACCAATACAAATGCGTACAGGAAGCTGAAAGTTAAATTTCTACTGCGAACTGCACCCTTTCTGAAGTTCCATTTACGATGGAAATGATGTCTGCGAAAAGTAGCCAATAACATTCCCAAATGAAAACTATCTGTTCTTAACGCTATAGTCTGAAACACATATTTGTGATAGGCCAAAAAATATATTACTGTATATCAGTACAGTGGTACCTCTAGTTACGTACTTAATTCGTTCTGGAGGTCCGTTCTTAACCTGAAACTGTTCTTAACCTGAAGCACCACTTTAGCTAATGGGGCCTCCCGCTGCTGCCATGCCACCGCCACGCGATTTCTGTTCTCATCCTGAAGCAAAGTTCTCAACCCGAGGTATTATTTCTGGGTTAGCGGAGTATGTAACCTGAAGCGTATGTAACCCGGGATACCACTGTACTACATATATATAGCATTCACTGCCTGTGGTTAGTACAAATGCAAGATTACTGTAATTAGTGCAATATAAAAGTATATAACTATTACATAATGAATTTGCTTTAACTACTGTGGGTATCACATAGCTTGGTTTCCACAGCAACCAACACTGCAGAATGATAACTGTATCTAAAAAGAATGAAAGACAGGTCATTATATAACTGTCACCAGCAGCGCAAGATACTTCATAGATAGTTAATCACCAACTTTCAGTTTGGGAAACATAAGAGTTCCCAGGCAACAGACTTTTTTTTACTTCATCCAGAGTTTTATTATCAGAAAATTAATACACACAAAAATGACCACTTCTAATTCAGTTCTGGTTTTCTTAATCCTTAAAAAGAGATGCCAGCTATACTGCACATTCATTCTACTATTTTTGATATCTTGTATCATCACATTGTGAAAAACTATTTAATAAGCAAAATCCAGCCTGGACCAAAAATATACTCAGTAGACTAATGTTGCAGATCAGATCCAAGTGCTCTTGAAGATAACTGATTTTCTAGATCCATTCAAACTGGGGTTTATGTGTCCTTTGTTAACTTTGCAGTGGTTCCAGTCCTACTTGAATGAGCATTTCCAGAGGGCGCTACTTGGGAGAGTGCTCTTCAGCCCCATGGAGCCTTCTATGTGCGGTTCCTCAGAGTTCGATTTTACCCCCTATGCTATTTAACATCTGCATGAAACAGCTGAGTGGAGTCATCCAGACTTTGATAATTATGCTGTCAGTAACATGTAAATGACACACAGCTCTGCCTCTCCTTTACATCTGGCAGGCTTGGCTATGAATGTCTGGACTGTTGTCTTGTCTTGGTATCTAGATGAGAGCCAATAAACTGAAGCCCAATCCAGGTAAAACTGAGGCACTGTCAGTGGGAAATGGCCTGCTCTACTGGGAAGTAGAAGAGAAGCTGGGATTTCAACCGTTGAAACTGTGTGAATTTTTATTTTATGGAGTCCGCTTTAGCTATTTGCTTATATTTTGATTTAGGCTAGTACATGTTGTGAGCTCTTGGAATAGAAAAGTGTACAAATTCAAAGAGACAGAAATAGCTTCCCTTCCCACCCAAAAAACCCAAAACAATCCAGAGTAATGTATTGCAGAAAAGTTTGCTAAACAAATGATTGTTGTTGACAATGTTTGCTGAATAAGATGTTTTGCATGCAATGACATCTTCAGCCATAGTAATATGAAGAAGAATTTGGTTCCAATTTCCATTCCCAGCTTCAAAGCTGAAAGGCTCCTCACATGAATCCACGTAAAGTCCTACATCTATATTAGGCACTCCATATAGGACACTTGAACCATGGCAATTTACCACAACCTATCCCAAATTTAGAATATATGTAGCATACCATCACTTGTCAAGAAGGATTGTTTCTCATTTATCAGTGTAAATATGCATCTGTACTTCAGAATCACTATTTAGAAAGTTGAGATAAAAGCAGCATAGCACAATAGATATCAATCTACAGGAAGACTTCAGAAAAAGAAAGATTAACTAGAAGAAACTGATAAGAGAAAAACATACCCACAGTAAACAGGAAATATGCTGAGAACTTGGAATACAGGTAAGAATCCCTCAAATCCCAAGATGTTAATACACTGTAAGTCAAAGTGAATTGTATGTTGTATATTGTTTATGTAAGATGCCTAAAGAACATTGCTGATCGATGGTTTATAAATGTAATTCTTATTAATTTATAAACCACCAATCAGCAAAGTTCTCTGGGCAGCTTACATAAACAATATACAAAATACAATTCCCAACACAATAAACAAAATAAAGTAAAACTCTGCAAAACTTGACTAAAATCAGCATAACCCCCAGCAGCAACAATACTTAAAACCAGCCAAACAAAAAAACCAGCAATGGGAAACTTGGTGCAAGAACTAAAACAATACATAAGATTGTAAATAAAAGGTCTGGGAGAACAGGAACTGGTCTTCACTTGGCACCTAAAAGATCACAGTATACATACCAGGGCAGTGCCCATTTGCCAAAGCTTCTTTTAGACCAAAGAAGAAAAACAGAGCTGAGAAACTGTTTTTATACAAAAGAGAGAGAAAAGGCAAGAAGGGTAAATGATTCACTGCACACTATGTCTCTGATCCTAAAAAACAGAACAGAGAAACCTAATTTAACGTCATGCTATTCTGGAAATACCACAGATCCTTAAGCTATTTATCCAGAAAAAACTTTTCTAGATAACAAACTTTTCAGATTTATTACAGTATAAATCATGGTTTAGGTCCTAAATTGCCACCACTCCCCTCAATATCCCAGGGGCCAACCAATTCACAGCAGCAAGGTTTCAGGGGGCTGCAGAGGAAAAGGGAGCAGGAAAGCCCTGTTCCATTAACATGGATCCAAGCCAAAGTATTTAAAATAGAAAACAGGACCACTCCCATGCTAACAGGATAAAATAGAATCACAGGCTCAGTCCAGTTATCTGAAAACACTAGTCAAATCCCCAACAGTATTCCATCAGTTACTACTGCAGACGGCTCCACAATTCCCCATTCATACCCACTGCCCCCACCAAAGCAGCAGCCGTACTTGGTACCTAGAACCTCTGGCTCCTCCCAGCATCACCACTCTGGATGGGAGAAATTGCTAAAACTACCCTGAGTCGGGAACCCACAAATACAGGACACATTTTCTCTGGCTCTTCAGCTGTTCCTGGCTGTGTATATTGCTTCTCCCAGTTACAGAAATACCATTAGAAAAAGCAAAGTAGCAAAGCCAAGCAAGTTCTGGACCTTAAGAATATCCACGAGGACAAAACAGTTCCCTGTAGCATTCCGCAATGTGCTGAAGCAGCCATTAGAACAGGACTTGAGTTCAAATACCTATTTACTCATAAAACTCACTGACAGGCCACAGGCAAGTCACCAGCTCTGAGCCTAACTAACATACCTCACAACGTTGTTTGGAAAACTTGATACTACCATCCACATACCATTCTGGACACCCTAACAGAAAGATAGGGCACAAATGTAACAAATAAAGAAAATTCTGCAAAGTCTGTAATAACCCACACTTCAAATGACCTGATATATGCTATGCACACCCCCCCCCCAAGGATGCTTATCTTTCTCACAGAAGCACACTTGTCTTTTTTGCCATCGTTTGCAGAAGCTACATACTTCTGAAAACACTTTCATGTTTTGTTGCTTTTAAATTTGCTTTTAAACAGTGTCTGCAATATGGTCAATTCATTTCCAAAATGGTTACTTTTCCCCCCAGGAAAGTGATTCACTTGTCAAGGTGTTCGCTGAACACACTTTTGAAGATGTCAAAGTACAGGGTCACAGGACAATGTCAAAGTTTCAGTTCCATCTATCACATCCACGAAACTTCCTCCAGAACAATCTACATTCCATCTTCTCATTTTCAACAGTTTATTTCCTGGGAATGAATTCATCCGCCTCTGAGCAAGTCTTCCTGCTGATAATATATTATCAACACTTCATAGGACTGTTTATTTCACTCCCAACTTCCTTCACTCTGCTTCAGATTCCACTAACGTGCAAACAGCGTCTTTTGCCCTCTGCACAGCGCAAGACCCAGACGTAAGATAAATGGTTAGAGCAGTTGCTATATTCCACAGTTACACACAACTATAAAACATGCAGACAATAGGATGATAAATATTAAACAGCACCCTCCTACGAAGATTATTTTTAAAGCCTCCGGAGCACTTTTATAGTAACTTCCTTGTGGGTTAATGTCGAGTTAGAAGTCTGGGATTGCCGGGAAAGCTCCATGCACTTGCCTCAGTTCCGCATTGCTGCTTCTACTCCTTTTGACTAGTAATTCAAACACAGAGAGAAAAAGAGAGAGGACCACAGTTGCCTGCCGACACATCTGGTTCTTCTGCAGGAATAAGTGGATGAGCAATGAAAGAGCCAAGAGAACTGCACTGACAGCCTTCCCACTCCATTTATTTTTTACAAGCCGTTTAAGACGTGTTAAAAAAAAACAACACATTGCAAATGGGTAAGATAAATGAGGAGGTGGCCCAAGGGGGGCTTTGAAACTGAAACTGAAATCCTAAGCTCTTCATTAATGCTCCACTCAAAGACATGAATTGAAAGGGTGCAACACTGGCAACATTTCAGTGTAGATACAGCAAGGGTGTTCAGAAGGCTTCCTAAACAGGGTGATTTAACAGTTAGACTTGGGAGACCTGAGTTCGAATCCCCACTCAGCCATGAAGAGCACTGGGTGATCTTGGGCCAGTCACCAGCCCTAACTCACAGGGTTGTTAATGAGGATGAACTGGGGAGGAGGAGAACCATGTACACAGCCTTGAGCTCCTTAGGAGGAAAAAAGTGATGTATAAATATAATTAACAATAATAATAACAGTGACCAAACACTGCAAAGAACTGAAGAATGGAAGACAGTAATTAATTCTCCCAGCACGCCAGGACTGAAACAACAATGTATATGAAGGACACATGTGAATGGATTTTATATTTCTAAGATGTAACACAGGCACTGTTTGTAAGGAGGAAAAAATGTCTCTTAAATAAGAGATGATGCGGCTACGAGAGGAAATGATCGACATATGTTTGCAACAGAAGCGGGAAACTTGATTTTATGCAATTGTATTAAATTGAAGTAATTTGGTTTGGTAATAATCTGGAAAATTAGTAAAATAATTTCGGGGGGGGGGGGGACTACCAATGACCAAACTCTGTCAAGTGTTCCCTATTATGCAGCGCTTAGGGTAAAACGCCACTACTTCTCCCACCTACACATCCAAAGGTACGTCAGATCTTAAGTTCAGCGATAACTAGCACTAAAAGCCTTCCCAGTTTTCATCCTGCACACACCTCACTGCAAGCCAGAACCCCCAACTACTTGGATGTTGGTCCTTGGATGTTGTGGGACTACAACTCCCTTCCTGGCAGCTAGGAGGGGTGTTTTTGTTTTTGTTTTTATTTTATATATTGTGATCTTTTCTGTGAACATCCCTGAGACCTCCAGCTGTAGAGCGGTATATAAATTCAATGAATCAACAAGCAAACAAACAACATCTGAAGACCCAAGGTTGAGAATGGCGGGTTTTAGGAGGCTTTCTTCCCTTCCCCTGATCCCTACCACCTCCAAGATCCACACACCCCCGCCCAAAAAAGCTCCATCCTTGGAGAGACCAGCAGCTCCCCCGCCCCTTGGCTTCTCCCTCCCCAACTGAGGACCACTTTACACGCGTCACACCCCAACAAGAGCTCGCTCTCGCGAAACACGCGTCTCCCGCTCCACACGTGACGCCGACACCCCCCCTCCTCCCGGAGCAGAGGCGAGACCCGAGGGATCCCTTCCGTGCCCTGCATTGAATGGTCTTTTGCTCCTTTCGCCTCCCTCACCCGCAGGAGATGCCGGCGCCGAAGATCCGCATCCCCGCCCCCGCGCCACCAACTCGGGGCCAACTTCGCGCGTCGCAGCGAGAGAGAGGAGCGAGACACGCGTCCGCCGCTCCACACGTGACGTCAACGCGCCTTCGCTCCTGCGAGCCTCTGAGGAACCGCAACGAAGATCCCCTCCCTCAGCGCTGAGGGAGCTTCGGCGGCTCCCCCGTTTCCTCCTCCGGCGGCGGCGGCGGCGGCGGCGGGGATGCTCCAACCCCGCGGCGGCTTCCCTCACCCGCTGCTTCTCACCTGTCCCCGGGGCCGGGCTGTCGGAGGCAGCCGCAGAAGCCGCTCCACCCGCTCCGCCTCCGCTTCCCCTTCTGCCGCCGCCGCCGCCGGCCACGTCCGCCGCCTCCGCCTCGCAGCGCCCCGGGGCCGGCGGCGAAGGCGAGGAAGCAGCGCGGGCGGCATCCGCCTTCGGCAAGAGCAGCAGCAGCAGCAGCAGCAGCAGCAGCAGGATCCCTCCCGGCCGCGCGGCTCTCCTCACGGCGGCGGCGGCGGCGGGGCAGCAACGGTTCATCGGCGCGGCGGCTCGGCTCGGCTCCGGCGACGGGCTCCTTCGTCGTCGCCTCAGCTCGCGAGGATGCCGCCCGCGCCGCCGCCGAAGCCCCGCCCCCCGCCGAGGAAGGGGGGGGCCCGCTCGCGCTCCTCTGACGAAAGCAGCCGATGCGGCGGTTGCTGCCCGCTCGCGCCGCCGGGGCAGCTACTCCGCATGCGCGCCGCCACGCAGGCGGCGGGGCGTGCGCAGTGGCGACGCGCGAAGCCGCGCCTGCCCTTACGGCTCGAAGGGTCTCTAGCAAGGGAAAGGAGCAGGGCAAGAAGGGGCGGCTGGGCGCAGGGGAGCTGGGAAACAGATGGCGTTGTTTTTGGGGGGTGAGCACGCTCAGGGGTATCCCTTTGAATGGGAAGCTGCCACGTGGGGATGCGCATGCTCAGGAGCGTCGCTGTCTTATTGACTCCTGCCACGTGGGCTGAGCCTACTCAGGGCCAGCGCTTTATTTTTATTTTTTTATCTTGAAATCATTTTTATTTGGTTTAACAAATATAAAATCATAACAATATAACCATATATAGCCATATTTAAAGATTCCTCCAAATCTCTGGACTTCCCACCTTCCCCTCCATGAGTCTATTACTCAGTTTACTATTATTATTATTATTACTATTATTATTATTATTATTATTATTATACACACACATACTGAGTAATACACACTGAGTTATACACACACACACAAAAAAACAACTGAGTAATATGCAGTTGAAAATGTAATATGTTACATATATATATCACACACACACACACATATATATAATATTTAAAATACTCATTTTACATCCTTAAGAGATCAGTGACTTCCCTTACCTTCCTGTTGTTCATTTTACTTATCATGAATCCCTGCATATTTTACAAAAACTATACCATTCAGTATTCCATTATTGCATTCATACACACACACACACAGAGTGCTTTTTTTTCTTTAAAAAATGTTTAGGGGTACTCTCATTTTCCTACACATAATGTAATAGTGCCCCTCAATGAGGCCAAAGTTTGATTCACAAAATGTTTAGGGGTATGTTGTGGCAATCACACAGGGTCCCCGGACGTTTCACCATCTATTGATCCCTGTGCCACCACTTCATTTCTCGCTGCCACCACCCAGGCCCTACCTGGTACAATACTGAGTCCAGTCAGGGTTAAATTGGAACATATACTTCTGTTTATTTATTGAAGTTTAACAAGCGTGTGGTTTCATAAATGGTCTCAGTCAATTACAATCATGGGGTGCCTATCCAGACCTATAACTTCCGCTACCTGCTCTCACTCACTAAACCACCTCTCAGATATTTACTTGTCTTCCTAGCTCCTAACTGTTCCTGACTCAGCTTATTTCGCTACACTAACTCAACCTACCCCCAGACTCTATCCCAGTTCACTCCCACTCCAACCAACCACCCAACTCCCAACAAACTCCCTTTCGCCCCTCCCAGAGCTGGTTTTATAGTCCCTCTGACTCCACCCCCTGGGTTCTGATTGGGTAACCTGTTTAACTATTTCACCTCCAGCACTCTGATATGTTAACGTCACATATGTGTACTCCTGTGTACCCCCAGAGAAAGCACTATGTGTTTGTGTATATATATATAATGTGGTTCTTCGGTTGGGACCTTGCTCGTTTTCCATTTTGGGGCCGCAGTAGTTGCATACATAAATAACCTTTTTTGACACCTGGGAATTTCAGTCTGAATTATCCCCAACAGAAAGGACTCTGGGGGGGGGGGAGTACTTTTAAACATTTTTTCCAATTTATTGTGGATCATTTCCCAATACGGTGGCATTACTTTTAATTAAGTGCAGGGGTGGGCCAGAAGGATTACGGTAATTCTTTTTTCTTTTGCGGGGAAGTACATTCCACCACATCTAATATTCAAGTTTTAGCCCTGCCAGCTTGATACCACAGATCCTATTTTTATGGACTTCTTCAAAGAAGTTTCTCTGTGCCGCTGTAACAATTTGTCCGTATTTTCCCATAAGAAAAAACGGTTTCCAGAGAGGGCATCGTGTGTGCAGGCTAATCCCTAGTTCCTGTTTATCCAGAAGCAGGTCCTTCTTCTTTGAATGAGGCTCCTTTCCAAAAGAAAGGTGTGCATCGAATTGCAGTCAGTTTTCAAATGAATGGAGAATGGAGAACTGCAAAATCATCCATCCATCCCTTTGAAACAGACTATGTATGCTATTTACTGCGTGTAAGATTGTCATTTACTGGAGACATTGTGATCAAAATGCAATCAAGCTAATCAGAATTTTCTTAAAAATAAAACAATGGGCAGTTAAAACTTATGCCTTGTAATTGAGTACCTTCTGTATACAAGGCAACATTGGGATATATGAAGCAATAGAATTAAATGTTTGTGTGTGTGTGTGTTTTCCATCCTCCCACTAGCCCTATAAATTACTGGTTGCATCTCTATTTTCGTTGCCAGCCGTCGAGTCTGCTCTCCGGCTTACTTAAGGACTTTTATAAATCCAGATGGTTCTAACTCTTACATAGCAAAATCAGAACTATTGGTACTTATTTACCAATTATTTATACTTTTCAGATATATACATTTCAATGATTTTACATTCATTTTGATATTTTAAATCTTGACTTCCCCCTCTTTCTGTGGTCCCTTAAATTTATTTTTAATATCTTCTGCATATCCAATTTAACTTAACTTAATCATTTATATATATATATATATATATGGTTATTAAAATCCTGCCAGTGTTTTTATCTGTTTACAATTTATCTGTAAATATTCAATAAACCATTTCCATTCTTTTATAAGAAGTTTGTTATCTTGATTTCTTATTCTTCCGGTAAGTTTTGCCATTTCTGCGTATTCCATAAGTTTTTGGATCCATTCATCCTTGCAGCAATGATAATATATTAGTTTAAAGATAAAGGACTAGAAATTTTTGTATACTGTGTGCATTTTAAAGAAAGATGCCTTCTGCTGAGTACACAGCACATTGGTCTTTTAAATCAGTCTTGCAATCAGGCTTAAAATGTCACCTGTAGTGGCTGATTGCTGCATTTCAGGCTATTCCCTCTAACCAAGTTTGCAAAAGGAGGGAGATACCTCTGGATTTGAATATCCAGATGATTTGTTGTTTTGTTTAGTCGTATCTGACTCTTCGTGACCCCATGGACCAGAGCACGCCAGGCACTCCTGTCTTCCACTGCTTCCTGCAGTTTGGTCAAACTCATGTTCGTAGCTTCGATAACACTGTCCAACCATCTCGTCCTCTGTCATCCCCTTCTCCTTGTGCCCTCAATCTTTCCCAACATCAGGGTCTTTTCCAGGGAGTCTTCTCTTCTCATGAGGTAGCCAAAGTATTGGAGCCTCAGCTTCAGGATCTGTCCTTCCAGTGAGCACTCAGGGCTGATTTCCTTCAGAATGGAGAGGTTTAATCTTCTTGCAGTCCATGGGACTCTCAAGAGTCTCCTCCAGCACCATAATTCAAAAGCATCAATTCTTCGGCGATCAGCCTTCTTTATGGGCCAGCTCTCACTTCCATACATCACTACTGGGAAAACCACAGCTTTAACTATACGGACCTTTGTCGGCAAAGTGATGTCTCTGCTTTTTAAGATGCTGTCTAGGTTTGTCATTGCTTTTCTCCCAAGAAGCAGGCGTCTTTTATTTTCGTGACTGCTGTCGCCATCTGCAGTGATCATGGAGCCCAAGAAAGTAAAATCTCTCACTACCTCCATTTCTTCCCCTTCTATTTGCCAGGAGGTGATGGGACCAGTGGCCATGATCTTAGTTTTTTTGATGTTGGCTTCAGACCATATTTTGCGCTCTCCTCTTTCACCCTCATTAAGAGGTTCTTTAATACCTCCTCACCTTCTGCCATCAAAGTTGTGTCATCTACATATCTGAGGTTGTTGATATTTCTTCCTGTAATCTTAATTCCGGTTTAGATTCATCCAGCCCAGCCTTTTGCATGATTAATTCTGCATATAAGCAGGGAGACAATATACAGCCTTGTCGTACTCCTTTCCCAGTTTTGAACCAATCAGTTGTTCCATATACAGTTTTACTGTAGCTTCTTGTCCCACATAGATGATAGAAAACTCTATTACAGGAAATTACCCACAGCCTGATAGATATCTGATCACCCTGATTAAACTTCCATCCTGTGAGCAAAGTGAAATCAACTGTCCAAATCAGAATTCTTATCCCTTGACCAATTCTATATTATTCAACAAATATTTATAGAATTATGGGGAATGGGAGACATTGGAACAATCTGCGGCTGCATGATAGTTAAAGTAAACATTGCTAATCCCCAAACATCTGCCTGGGGTTTCCTGCTTCAGTTTTCCTACTAGAACTGTAATCCTTTTACATTGTGAGCTCCTAAAGGAAATTTTATTATTTGATTTACGCCAGACAACCTATAAAGGAGGCCTAGAATTTTTTGCAAGCAGGGAAGAATTCCCACTTCAAAATGTATAAAACCCACATCAGGGGGAGATGGGAAGCTGTTATTGGAAATGTATAGAAAATGTATAGAGATACCTAAAATGTATAGAAACTTATTCATGTATCCTACTACAGCAGCAAG